CAGCCTTGGCACTCCAATGCGGGGGCCATCGGCAGCCTGCTGGTACAGAAGCTGGATTGTATCGCCATTGGGGGCTACAACGTCAAGAGTTGGGTTGCCCACCTGGTACACAACATACTAGCGCCTTGCATCTTCGAAGCCATTTGCATCCATTGTCCCGTCCTCATTGAGAGAACAGGGAGATTGTCTTCCGGGGGGTAGGGTTTCGCGAGTTGTTATACGAAAACTTCTTAAATTGTACACATTTGGAACTGCTCTATCCAGCCCTAATCTCCACCTAGAGCTTCCCCCCGGTCACTAAGCCGACAACAGATATTGATCTGTGGCTAGTTGCTAGCACGGCAAGCTTAGCAGTGGGTCAAATGTGAACAGTAAATTATGGTGTCAAAAAAAGAGTTGGTTCTTTCTAACTAAAGTATCTAGTCAAGATGAAAGCACCCCATATCCATGGTAGGCCTTCGAACTCCAGATAGCGCCGCGCTTAAATGGTATCATCATCACATCAGATCGTAGAAACAGCTTGAGATTACTTGCCCAGAATATCCAGCACAAATCGCCGGTCGACTTCCATCTCTTTATCGTCCTCTTCGCCCTCAAACTTGAGGCGATAGACGTCTTTTCTTGCGCCCATCACCTCCGCACGATAGAATGTGGTAGTGTCCGGGTATCGCGCGAGGACCTGCTTGCCAGCCGGGTACGTAGACAAGTGGGCGCTGAGCTGAGGAATGGGAATGAGAGAGGCAGCGGTAGTCTTGTAAACCGCCCCCTGCTCACCATTCTCATTCGGCTCGGGGTCCTGCACATCATATCTGAATCAGACATGACGTGTCAGTCAATGTAAATCGAGACGAAACTCAAACGACCCAACATAACTTACCGCTTCTTCGGTCCGTCGCCATTAACAGCCTTGATTATGCATTGGATCCCCTCACCCTCGACACCTTGTTTATTCTTGTTGTGTTTGAACACAACCTGAGCCCCAACCACCAACTGGCCATTCCGTTCTGCGACAGTGCCTTTGGTCCCTTCCGACTGCCCTTCTTCGATCTTGACCATGATGTTATCCTGACGGCCCCCTTCGCGTGCTTGCGTGCTTGATGAGACGCTGGCGCTGCGTGGGACGGTCCCCTTTGAGCGAGCGGACTTGTCAGCCCCCGAGGCACTGGGGGAGTCGGTCACCGAACCTTCGACTTCATTTCTTTTCTTGCGCGACTTGTTGAACGATGCGGACCGATTCGGAGGCGCTTCGGCTTCGGATGCCTTGCGCAATGCTGTGAGCAGTTCTAGATTTTTGATTACGTCGCATGGCTCGTCCTGCATGATCGAGCGCTCATCTTCGCTGAGCTTTTGGCTTAGGCGAAGCCAGCTATCAAGTTGGTCGTGTTCAGCCATGGTCGGTTCTGCTTGTAGTTGCAATGTTAGTAGATGCCATTAATAATCAGTTTGAAGTAATTCGGATTGATTAGACGCGAAGCGCATGTTGGAGCTTTGCGGTGGCGGGTATAGAGCCGAGGGATCTAGTGCGGGGACGCTCACGGTTGCCATCATGGGCGATCTTGTCCACCAAAGCTTTAATCTGCAAGGACAATGAAGTCTGCTGATCGAACTTCTCCTTTGATTTTCGAATATCCTGGCAGATCTTGGTCCAGAGCTCCAATTCCTCATTATTGCCAAAGCCGTTGTCTCTGGGTCGGGGGCGATTGCGAGACATCGGGCCGTTTACAGGTAAAGAGTGTATGAAGAGTATGAACAGCTTACTGCTGACCAGAACCCCTAGGTAATGAGACCAGATTTGAAGCAAGTTGTTTCGAAGATGTTGGAGATGCGGTGATAAGGGTCCGGGCGGTCGGAGTTGATACGCTAAACTACTTTGGGATATGGCATTCTAGATACAATCAACATTGACAGTTGGATGATGAACACTTCTTGTCTTTTCAGTGGATGTATTTATGATCTCTGAGATGGGTAGACTTTGTTGACCCTATTATTATGTCTCGATGCGGTTGTATGGTGATAACTCGGTTGCGGAAGTACCCCGTTAGGAATGACAGATTGGGATACTCCGTACGGAGTAAATCCCAGAAACAAAAAGCCGGGAATTCCTCAAAATGCCACGGAATCCATCTCAACTATTTAGAAGGTCCAGACGTGTGTCATAAAGACCATCGAGATCATATACCCTGTCCGACACGTCTCACCGAAGGCTTGGCGGGGAATTTCTAATAGAAACTGGTTGCCCCTCCGCTTTCTCTTCAAACATCCATTTCAAGATGCAGGTACCACTACTTCGGCTGCAATGCGGTAAGCTTCGAGATGTTCTATAAAAGTAACATGGCTGATATGTTTTCCTTTAGGCGTCAACAGCTATGACTGGGGTAAGCTAGTACAACATGCGATATTGCGTTCCCCGCACTAATGTCCGTCATAGGCAAGGTCGGCCAAGAGTCGGCAGCGGCCAGGTATGCGGCCACAACAGCCGCCCCGGACTTTGTGATTGAGGCCGAGAAGCCCTATGCCGAAGTAAGTGAGAGCTCACTAATATTAGACCTAATGGGCTCACCATTCATAGCTCTGGATGGGCACACATCCATCTCTTCCCTCTAAAGATGTCGAGACTCAGCGTACCCTCCTCGATATGGTTCAGGATAACCAGGCCCTGCTGTCGACCGAGATCAGTGAACGATTTGGAGGCAGACTCCCCTTCCTGTTCAAGGTGCTTTCCATCCGTAAAGCGCTTAGCATCCAGGCCCATCCCAACAAGAAGCTCGCGGAGCAGCTCCATGCCCGGGACCCAAAGAACTATCCCGGTAAGTGTTACTTGGCATCGCACTCAATCAAAAAACGCCTAGAATGGTTGCTAACCGATTTTAAGATGACAATCACAAGCCCGAGATGACCATTGCCATCACTCCATTCGAGGGTTTGTGTGGCTTCCGTCCGCTCGCAGAGATCACACATTTCCTCCAGGCCGTAGAGCCTCTGCGCACCCTAGTTGGCAACCAGGCGGCGAGTGACTTCGAGCAGCTCGTCAAGGGCAACGAGAACTCAGACGACCCTGCTGTCATCCAAAAGAACAAGGAAGCACTACGCTCCATCTTCACCACCTTGATGCAGTCGTCATCCGAGAAGGTAGAGACAGCCTGCAATGACCTTATCTCGGCCGCGGACAGCAACCCCGATAGCTTTGCAACCTTGTCAGGTGAGGTGGAGACGAACCCTACCAACCCCGCTGAGCTGGCTGCGATTGCCAAGCGTCTCGACGGACAGTTCCCTAACGACATCGGTCTGTTCATCTTCTTTTTCCTCAACTTTGTCAAGATGGAACCTGGTGAGGCTATGTTCCTGAAGGCAGATGATATCCACGCCTACATCTCCGGTGATATTATCGAGTGCATGGCGTCCTCTGACAACGTGGTGCGAGCGGGTTTCACTCCGAAATTCAAGGACGTCGACACCCTCACCCAGATGTTGACTTACTCCTACGCACCAATCGAGGAGCAGAAGCTCCAGGCAACAGACTACCCATATGTCATCCTGAACGCCACTGCTTACTCTAGCGCCTCGTCCGCAATGCTCTACGATCCCCCTATCGACGAGTTCAGCGTTATCAAGACCGACTTGAACCGGACTGGCGCCAAGGCTACTTTCGACCCAATTGATGGCCCCAGTATCTTCATTTGTACTCGTGGCAAGGGCAAGATTACTGTCGGCAATAAGACTGAGGAGGTCCAGGAGGGCTATGTTTTCTTCGTCGGCGCTACTGCTCAATGTGTGATTGAGAACACTGGCAGTGGTGAGGGCGATGATGATGTCTTCACAACCTATAAGGCATTCTGTGAATTGACTGCGACCGGTGAGGAAAATTAGGTCATTGGTCACTACGTTGTCATATTCTAATATGTGGCGTCAAGATGAAACACCCCGTTCTAGTACCGGCGCAAACCTGTGAAGTGTACATGCGGGATAGGGATGATACTCTGGTGTGAAATAACAAAATAACAAAGCAATGAGAACAATGCAATAACCGAAGACGAAATTGGAAGCGCTCAGGCTATGGTTGACATAACCCAAGGCCTCGGAAATATTGCGCCAATAGTCCTCAGAAGAGCCTGATCTTTGTACAATGGAGTTATAGCGCTACTTCTGAACTTCTAATTTGGATTTCTCTTCCTCCGATTTGTTCGTTTTCTTCCACGGGTACATATACATAGTGTTATAGTATGACCCAAGGGAAATGTGTTGCGCTCAGACATCTCAGGCGCTAATTAGTGTTGCTAATATCGTCTCTCGTATTGACTTTGAAACTCTGTCCAACATTACATTCATGCCTGATATTCATTCGAACAGATCGGCATCCTTTCCGAGTTTCAGTATGATGTGTGGCGGCTCTTCAGTACGACAGACACAATAGGCGCTGAGTGCACGATCCTCCCGGAGACATTTTTATAGCCCTAGCAGGAGGTGTTTGATCCACCGGGTCATCCAAGTTGAATGGAATACTACACATGTAGTAATATTTGGGAAATCACCATATTTAACAGTATCAGTGATGCCGGGGTTATTGTTGGATCTCAGCAGAGCCGCCCTCGACTCAATATGTCCTACGCACCTTAATGGCAATGTTTTCGCTTTTCAGGGCAACCTATGGTAGTCATAAGAACTCATGAGTGATACGGGGGGTGTTTCGAGGTCGGCCTGATGACTACGTCGGGTTGGTTGAGAATCGTGCTGGTGAGTATCTACTACGACTTATAGAACAGAAGGGGTTCGGACCTAAGAGAATGTATGGCTGGTAGGTACCTTTTGTGAGCCTTTCGCTTTGCGTCTGACGTGAATATACGTTGACTATGGTCTGGTCAAAATAAATACTTGAAGTGCTCCTGCCACTCTCATCTTCGAGACTTGTCTTGTCGCTTTGTGTGCAGACCAAATCATATATCATCGCGTCGAGATCATCTTCCTTATTCTTCACTTTCATATTGTTCACCCATAACAGAATCATGAGGAGAGTTCATCCGAGACATCCTGTCTTGGTCCTTGACAACCTCCGAAGAAGATTGCTGAAAAATACACCGTATGAAAAGCACCGTCTTCTTCTTATTGCATCCGAGCATATTCTGAAGAAACTCGATTTTCGTTTCAATGTATCCCGGCACGTCCTAGAGGAGCTCGATCTCCAGGGTGAACTAGCTTCTATCGGGTTATCCATTCAAGAGATCCAAGCCTCCTGGTTACCCGATGTTCTACGGGTACGTGATTTCTATATTGACAGCGCAAGGACTACAGAGAACGAAGATCACTTCCAAATCCCGCTTGAGTTCTTGATTATGCTGGATGCAGCAGCAGGGTGAGCACTTTCCAGAACACCTGGATTATATCTCAAATGCTGACAATACCAAGCCTAGCATACAGGGACGGGAACTCCCAAGTGGGACTTGAACTACTAGACATTAGCAATGACATGTTTTGTCACTCCTGGTCTGACCTTACCGGAGATGAACAAGCCAAAGACGAGGAACGCGCTAGCACAGAGTATCTGCATACATGCCTTTGGATTTTAGTGCAAGACTTTGACTCGGCACATGAGCACATCGAGAGAGCGATACAGCGATACCTTGTTCAAAGGGTAGAATTTCGCTGTGAGGTATACTACAAGGGACGAGAGTGGCTCCTTCGAGGGTGCATGGCGGAAGCGTTGGATGGCAAGGGCTGTCATGACATGGCTGAAAGATACTATCGCGAGGCCCTCAGCCTCAGGCCACCTTATAACAAGTACAGTGAGTACGAAGTGGGCCTTGGAAGATGTATGCTTCTACAGGGAAAGATAAATGAGGCGAAATGGCACCTTGCGAGCTTTCTTCTGGACCTGGAAAGGGCACCTAGTGGTGTGGATCAAGCCAGAGATTATTGTTAAGTAATATAAGTAGTTCGTTTTCGTGACTCTTGCTTTGCTAACCGACGGGTAACTCCAGTACTGGTCTTAATCTTTACTAGCTAGGCAATGCACACCTCGACGACGGTGACAGCCGCGCAACGGCATTCGATTTCCATCGACGGGCGTTCCAGAGTCTGAGGCTCTCGTTGGGCGCAGAACACCCCATGTTTGGAACGGCAAGCTACAAACTAGGTGTGCATTATTACACTCGCGCCATCACTGGATCTTCTGACGTCGAGGTCGATCTGAAAACTGCGTTGTATGTCTATATGAGTCCAGCTGCAGTTGTAACTGAAGATATGCTAACTCAAACACAAATTTAAGCACTGCTTTCACACGGAGTTGGAGGTATTTCGCTCCGGGTATGATAACGAGTATCAAAAGGCCGATCGTGCCCGGGTCTTGTACAGAATTAGCTGTACCTATAAAGTCTTGCTACTGCTGGACGAAGCCAAACGCGATGAGCATTAAAAAGAAGCGGATCGGGCATTCAAAGAGGCTTTTGATTTACGACAGGAGATCATCAATGCTCGCAACTTGGATTCCACAGGGCAGTCAGACGACAAGATTTATGACCAACTTGTTAGCCGGTGGTGTCGCTAGGGCAGCAGCAGTACTGGATTTAAGGCTTGGGCTCTATATTAACTTGTTAACTTTGTGAGATTGTCATTTTCCGGAATACAGTTATTGTTATTGAAATATTATACAAAGGCCAACCCGATGCTACAAGATATATAATTATCTAGTGCAAACCAATAGGGAGTTAAGTTATAAACCAGATAGCCATCAACAAAATCGAGACGCACAGTTAAAACATACCATCGCGAGGAGAGTGACCCACGAAGTATTAACCGGGATACCTTCGCTCTTTGGCGCCAATATTCAGTAGTTTAGGTTTCAAGCTAACGAATATGTCAGCCAGCTAGATGGATATCTGTTTCATGGAGTAGAACTCTCAGCGGTTGCCGAAGAAGCCACATGCCCAACATAAGAGATATCAGATGTGATATTTAGTTCAATTGACTGTTTCAGGGAAATATGATAGGCTTATAGAGAATGTTAATAGTTTCAAGGCCTAAGAGTACCTGAGCACCTACAATCTGACCAAGGCCAGTGTAACGATATGATGTGAGTACATTACTCTTCTGTATAGTCCAAAGAATCAAGGCTATCCACAGTTTAGATTATTTACCAACCACTTGCGTTGATACATTCAGCACTGGGATGAGCAACCTTGTCGCCACGTGTGCCACTCACAGTGGTCTCTTCTCACTCGAGACCACGCTGTTCTGCAAGCTGGCACTCAATCCAACAATCTTACATAGAATTGCCAATACCTTCCAGGCCGGATGGTTGCTTCTTGCGGCCGTGCGCGCCGTTATGTCTAACCTCCGTGCTGGTCTGGCCGTGCATCGGTCTGCCTAGGCCGCGGTTCACATCCCCAGAGGTGGCTCCCGTAAACATATCCGCAGCCGATGTGTAGGTAGTCCCTTCTTCTTCCTCCTCGTTCATATTGAGGTTGTAGTTTTCACTGGGCTCGCCGCTATAGGAGTCGCTTGCTGGGGCTGAGCCGGGAGGGAATGCCTGAGCGCGGTTTTCGGAGCGCTGGTCAAACTCGTTGACTGGATGCTGTAGGCTTAATTAATGCGGTGTAATATCATAGGTTCTAAAGTCAAACATACACCCTCAGTGGTAACTGGCCCTTCGCGAGGAACTGAGGGCCTAAAAGCACCCTGTTTGACATTCGCGGCGTTATTGGCCTTTGACGAGTGACTCATTATGAATCCGTATTTCCTTTCAGTGCTTAGAAGTAGTAAAAAACTCGGTTATCATACACTAATTCTCGGTTCTTATATTTCGAGGACTATGATGTAACTATGTGGTATACCCTAGAAGTAGCTGCTATTGTTTAGTGAACTGTCTAGTCATTGCTTCGACTTGTCAATGGCGAGGATGAAGTGCGGATGACGTAAAAATGTAACTTAGGTAGGACTTTACAGTTGCTCCTCTAGAGACTAAAAGAAAAGCCATAAATAACTCGAACATTCAAGTCAAAGATACTATCAAATACCGGAGCCAGTACGCTTCTTTCAGTAGCTTATCGTTTTGGATTTGAATGGCATGCCATACTTGATTTCATTTAGACAGGGCGAGAACTATTGATTAATAGGCGTGCGCCCCAAGCTAGCACTCGAGAAATAAATCTCGTCATTCTACAGTAAGCATGTAGCACTCGACATAAAATACAAGGCTCATCACCATAACACAAACACAAATATAGTAACTTCGATTTAGCTTTTATTGGGTGTAGTCGAGTTCCAGGGTGCCTGGATTGTGGGCCACCATTTTACCATCCTTGTTCTGGAAGCGTACCTGTTCAAAGATCACGCGTCCTTAGCATGATACATCTAGTCACTTTAGCCCATAAAATTCTGCTCACTTTTGGCGGATTTTTCACATTAACCTCTTCTGCTCGTTGCTTGTCTGTGATTATCTCTTCCACCTAAATATATGAGTAATCAGCACACTCCATAAGCACAAATAGTTCTCCATAAGTTGTTATCTTTCACTAACAGGTCCTTCATGCGTTCCGCCGCGAATCCTGGTTCCAACATAATCGCCGGGATTAATAACATTGCCGTGTTTGTCTGTAACTTTGTTATCACCCATGGTGTCAAACGTTTCTGGGGAAGATGGAACAGGTGAATAACCTCAAATTGAGTATACTGGATATTATTGGGACTAAAGCACCTTGCTACATATATTTGTTGGGGCAAGGGTTGCACTCTATAGAGCCACGATGATCTCATATGTACCTCATCCCTCTAGGTTCATCTAATTTGGACAGATGGCGCTATTGATAGGTTGTGGCCGATCGCCAATGGGCCAGAGTAGGCGTAGGCTCGGCCAGTCTCGACGACAGAGGACCAAAGAGACCACTAAAGAGACACCACAACGTTGCATAAGCGGCTAAACATACTTTATAGTCTTGTGTGAAAAGGGGATGCTAGGAACAAGAAGAGACCGGGATTCTGACTCCGTACATACAAATTGCCGCTGATGTATTTGCCTTGGAGCAGGCTGACTCCCTAGAGGGAGAAAATTCTGATAGGCAACGAATACTTGACAAGGGTGACGATGGAGTTTCATTGGACTTAACCACTCCAATGTTATGTGGTTGGATTATACAACCAACTCTAGGGCGACGAATGACGTTCCTTGCCTGGCGAGTACCCTTAGTTGGAATAACACAGACTTACTGGCGCTAATTATAAATACCAAAAGTAAAAGTGGTTGGGCTCTTGATATCCAACAGAGGGTTCTTACGAGCGTCATTATTTACTAGGATCATGGCATCTGAGACAGGCAAACACGTACTGTGTTCTAAATGTGTTCTGAATGTGGGTACATTCCCCAAGGAAAGATAATATACCTGTATTCCGTAGGAAACGATGGCTTGAGTCTCAGCCACCCCCTAGTTCGATGACTTGGATTGGTTTTTATCTAATTATGCAAATGTTTTGACTGTTGAGAATCGAAGTTCCCTAACTTGGTAGCTAATAGACCCATTACATGTCATCACACCTATCTAACATCTCATGAATTGGAAACATGCTCATCAAAAAGTATTGATTATAGGCTATGAGTGAAAAAAGAGTGTAAAATATTCGCGTCAATCTCCAAATTAGCACAAACGGCCAAAGAAAAAAGCAAAAGGGTACCCAATCGACTAAAGAGCGTGTTATGATCTCCTACTCACGGCCAATAAAGCACCGTATGGCCTGGTGCACTCTTGCAGTGTTCACCACAAGTCTTTCCCATTCCTGTCTTCCACATAATTGCCAGGCCCCCGTTGACTGCGGACATCTTCCTCACACTGTCCGCTCGAGCTAGGTCAGAATTCGAAAGCAGCCTGGCCCTTCAACTATCCCAAATCACAGGCCCACTGCTCAAAGCCCCCCTCAGCAAGTCTATTCCTTAGCGACAAAATCTGTACCTCCATCTCGGACACCAATGTTTTCAGGCTAGCCTCTGACTCTTTCAGCTTAAGAAACTCAAGAAAATGGTTATATTCTCTTTCACAGCCACGCCTGATGGTGTTGTCCGAGTCGAGGTCCCTGTGTGCTTGTTTTAATGCTCGGAGATACGAATTGTTGATCGTAAGGTAGTTGGGGTTGGGTTTGTGCCGGTAGCAGCGTGTAAGAAACATGTACATTTTGACAAAATCTCCCTCACTAGAAAATCCGACCCATTGATTGCCACGTTCAGGAATCTTGTCGGCGTGTTGATCGCTAATTTGCTGCGCAATTCTCTCGGCGTATTCGAAGTCACCGTTGCGGTATAAACCATCGACAAACAGCATGAGATCCGGGAGAGGGATGATGCGAAGGCCGTAGGGAACCATTTCTGCATAATCATATGTACTCCTCATGTGGGGAGCAGGGTTTTGCACGATGCCGCGGCGAAACATATACGCAACAGTCTCTATGGCAAGCGTAGCTAAATTCGTCGGTAGTGAACTCTCGTCAGAGGCCAAAAGCTCGCTCTGAACCCATCCGCGGACGTCTGAGCTGATTTTGAAATGATTGTTAACATTATGTTGTGTATTTTCACCACAATCAAGAACCAAAAGACCAGTATCAAGGAGGCGTTGAATAACAATTTCAATCTCGGAAAGATCAGGAAGGCCCTCCTTGAATAGGGGAAGGATCCATTCAAGAAAGTAGGACTCTTTCACATTGCTGAAAAGCGCATAGATCTCGCGTCTGGTGAAACCAGATGGGTCTAACAAGGTCAAGTACGCCATGAGCATGAAATCAACAAGCCGATCGGCATGAAGTGCTTGCACAGACTCTCTGGAGGGATTCATGTTGTCGCGTTGACTTGAGTTGGGTGCAGTGGTAGATGGCAAATATTTAGTTTGGGAAACAGCAGGTTATGGAAGCTTATCAGTCAGGAAGGTGAGACTTAGACGGAAAGAAGAAGTTGAGAATTAGAAGACATTGGAAAATTGTCTCCTTATATACTGTTTCCCGCTGCTATGGCCTACCCTTGGGCATTTCCAGAAGAAGTGAGGCTGAGCTCTGCTATAGGAGATATTGCAATTGATAGAAGTTGGTAAATACGCATCGACTTCTGACCCAACCGGAATATTGTTAGACGTGATGGCCCATGATTGAGACACACAATTACCACTGAGCTGTTGAGTCTGGCAGGGACCATCGAATTGAATATCTGCCCTGATTATAATCACCGAAAATGTGAGAACGGTAACTCATGACACCCAGTAGAGCGTTCTTCTATTCTCATATTGAGCTCTATTATTTACCAAGAGGATGGCTTTTGAGACGTACCGTGTTCCAAACACAGATCAAATTCTGGCGCCTAATGTAATATTTCGATAGGCAGCTGACGACCTCAGTCTCAGCCACCCCATAGTTTCAATTATGTGGCATGGGTAATATCCATAGAATGTCTACTAGGATGGAGGTGAAACCTGCACCCTCACTACAAAATCCACACAAAGTGAAATGAAGCCCGAGTAATGAATGTGATATAAATACTGAAAGCCTCCATTTGAGCCAACAAAGCTGAGGCAATAAGCTGTTCGTGTGGTGGTGATGTGCCCTCTGATTGACCAAAGACAGCAGGGAATGAAAGGCGAAACTGGAACCTGGCCTTTCTGGTTCTCAGGCCTTTCAAACGACTGGGCGCCCTGAAAAGCCGGTAAAACCTAAATCTCGTTGGGTATAGTGACATGTTAGCCCTTGGCAGGGTATTATGAGGGTCACTTAAGCACCTATCAGCACAGGACTAGGGGTGTTCACAACTTGTCGATTCACCAAAGACCCGTATCCAGCATATCAAGCCCTATTAAGTGATGTCATTTGCATTCTACAAGACTTCCTTGTGTCCAACACCTTTGATCTGATATCCAAGCCGTTTGACGACGTGTTGCACCAACTTAAACCTAAATAGTAGTAGAGTTCAAATGGTGAAATGTTGAAGGTGCGCGTTTCAAGCCATGCGTTTTCTTTCCTGTTTTCAATTCCAATCCGCTTGCTAAATCATTACATAGCCTCATACTCCTTTGTGTTAAGAAAACACACGTATCGTCGGGCATCATGCTTCACACTTCCTATGGCCACGAGTCCCTTGCTAATCACTACGTGTTTTCGTCTGCGCTATCTTGCTTACCACATGTGTCGTGTTTAATCGGAAATCCCGGCTTTATTGGCTGACTGCCTCTATCATTGTCCAGTTGGAGACATGGAAATTAGCCAGATCACACCAGTTGGTGAGGCTGATACGCGATGTCAGTAGGAGCCTTGGAGCTAGGTAGGCTGTGTTTCCTGTGGGACCTCTCTCTTTCCCACATACACACGTATATAAACATACACACACACCAACTGTCTTTCTATATCCACCCGTTCTCCTTCTGACCTCGCCAAGTAGCGAAGAAACAGCTTTCATGGTGCTGCTTGCTTCCTTGTCATCCACACTACGCTTGTGGTACAGGAAACACTGAATACTCATCGCCTAAGCAAATTTCCCATCCCATTTTCCCTCTATTCAGACTAACCATCCGGGCCTAGGTATTCTTATCTCTGTTACCAACCTCTATCGACTATAGCATTCCTTTTTTCTAGCCTTTGTCGATTAGAACTCAACCAGAAGTGGCCTCATAGCCATTCATTCTCCTTGAACTAAGTCCCCTTGTTCTATCTAGGTAGCTATTATACATTTGTCACCTTCTGACTCTAGTGAATAGTCTCTTAATTATCTCGACAAGAGCAGAATTTCGACGCATTTGCTACAAGGGCGCCAGTCCCCAAGTCCACAACCGTGCCGTCATATTTTTGTCTCAAATATACCGGGATCATTGGTCCAGGTACGTACATCCAGTTAGCTGACGTGGAACAGTATTCTCATAATAGGTATCTTCGGCATCTGTCCAACATTCCTTGACATTCTTGACAGGTATGGTCCCCGAGGTCCGAGGTTGTTTGCTAAATTTCTATATATCTCCTCTCTTTTTAAGTTTCTTTCTCCATATACACAAGTAAGTTCAATCCCAATTTCCATCATACAGCTTGCAGACCAAATCCCCTCAAAACGCCCATACGCCGAACTCGGCGCTAAAGCGGAAACCCTGGAGATATCACGATGCAGATCTGCGCAAAGCCAATCAGCACCCGACGGCTTCACATCCTGCATGCCCCACAGCCGAGGGAATCCAAAGAGCGGGGAGGGAAGCTATAAAGTCGACACCTAGCCCAGCTCCCCTTCTCCTTCCCCAAGAGCTTGAATTACTCAAATTTATAATCATGGCGTCCAAAGATGATTCCCCCCAGCTTGGGTTCTGGGAAAAAGCCGATCTCCCATTCCTGCACTTGTCAGTGTACGCCAGTATGGTGTATGCTGCTATTACTGGTGTTTTTCGGGGTAAAGGAAGCCCCAAGCGCTACGACCACCATGTTCTGGCATCTGTGATTCGGAAAGTGGTTGATCGTCGGTCGGATCGGCAGACACAGTATGTTTTCTCTGATTTTTCTGCACATAGCTCCGAATAATGCATGGATGAGAATGGACATGAAATTGATGTGTCGCGCAGGTACCTCACTCCCCCAACTTCAGTCGCCTACGCAGACGTCATGAAGAAGCGTGGCCTCGAACCCGAGACCGTCGCCCTCCCACATGGCGCAGAGGGCCATTGGATCGGAAATAAAAACGCCAAGAACGTGATTATATACTATCACGGTGCGTCCCCAATCACTGCCGTGTAACACGCGGAGTAATTCGCACCTACAGAGCGAAAATCACACAATATATCCGAGAACAGGCAAAGTACTAACAAAACCCAGGCGGCGGTTTCGCCATGCCCGCCATTGCTGCGTACTTCGAATTCTGGCTGGAGATGCTGAAAGCCTTGAACGAAACCGGCCACGACCTAGCCGTGTTCTTCCCCCGGTACACGCTAACCCCACACGCGACGTACCCAACCCAGCTCCGCCAAGCCGTCGAGGCCCTACGCTACATCATCAACGAGACAGGCCGCTCACCCGCCAACGTAATTATTGGCGGGGACTCCGCGGGCGGGAACCTGACTGCCGCGACACTGCTGCACCTGTCTCACCCGCACCCTGAGATCGAGCCTTTGGTACTGTCGGCGCCATTGGCGGGCGCGTTTACATACGCGCCCTGGATTAACTTTAGTACGGAGTGGCCATCGATGAAGGACAATCAATGGAAGGACATTGTTACGTCGTCGGTTTTGACTCGGTGGTCTGATTCGTATCGGGGGGATAAACCGGCGGATAATTGGAATGAGCCGTTTAATGCGCCGGCTGAGTGGTGGAGGGGTGTTAAGGCGGAGGGGATTTTGGTGCTTGTTGGTGGGGATGAGATCTTGCTTTCGCCTATCCAGGAATTTGTGAAGAAGATTAAATCGGTTTATGAGGAGATTACTGTTGTGGTTGGGCAGGATGAGTCGCATGATGCGCCGTTCTATACTATGACCAAGGAGGAGTCTCAGACTAAGACGGAATTGCGACGGTGGTTGCCTGCTCGGCTGTGATTTATTTATTGTCATGGTGATACGAGCAGAAAGATGGGTTGGCTAGAGCCAGGTTTTGTTGTGCCCATGTCTCATACCAAATTACAGATAGGAAACATGGAATCGGTTGAAAGGTCGTGTCTTTTCATAAACAAGCAGGATAGGCTCCCCTGACTCGGATTAAACAAAACAACAAATATATGAAACAGCATTTAGATTACTCTAGGACGAGACCTTAGCGGAGAACTTAGCCGCCGCAGTATCGAAGAACTCGCTCTTCTCTTGGATATCGGTAAGAAGGGGGTGCGTGGGTTGGACCTGCTGTAACCGGCTAGACGAGAGACGGAAGTTAGCATCAGGTTCACTATCTCGTATGAATGGAGCGGTGACGGGGTAACATACGACTCCAGGTCCTCGGTCTGCTTGCCAGCCAAAACATTCAAAACAATGCTATTGGCGATCAACTCGACGTCGGTGGGGTATTGCTCAAGGGCGGAGGTGAGGGCGGCATCGGCCTCGGGCAAACGACCCAAGTGGATCTCAGAGACGGCCTGACCGACGATAGAGAGCGGTGCGGAGGTACCGGGTGCGGAGGCGAGCTCCTCGTATACGTAGAAAGCAGACTGGTACTTCTCGCCGCCCTGTACAGTAGAAACACAAGTCAGCACTCATACACATGGACCAGGGGATTGCAAGTTTCTCATCGACATACAACTCTCAAGCCAACCCACGATTCGGCAACGTTGACCAGCAGCGAATCCTGACCCCAGCGCTTGGCAGCCTGGACTTCCTTGAGCGCGAGATCGGTCCGGTTTTGTTGGAGCTGGATCTGGACAATGAGGGAGACGCTAATACACATAGATTGTCAGACCAATATGCTCCGCTATATCGCAGTCTCCTTGCGACGGGTGTACTCACGCCTCGAGGTTACCCTGGTGCTTAGACAGCAGGGCCAGAGCTTCTTCGCTGTGTCCCTGGGCCTGGAGCACGGTAGCAGCGAGAACTTGCACGGTGTTATTTTCGGGGTAGTTCTCTGCTAGCTCTTGTGCGAGCTGCAGGGCAGCATCTGTCTTTCCAGTGGACTGCAGGGCCAGGGCCCTGACGGCTGACAGGTCGGGGCTGTCCTCCTCGATGGAGGGCTCGGCGAGGCTTTCCTCGTACTGGCCGAGGGCAATCTGGGCGCGGAGTCTGAGGACTTGGGCGGGGAGTTGGTTCTCGGGGGAGAGCGCGGCGGTGTCGAAGTCGATCACATTCTGGTATTGTCCGGAGTGGAAGGCGCTGTGGATGTTGAGGAGCTCTGCGGGGAAGCTGGATTAGCGGTGATCGGGGGTGTAGAGAGGGATGAAAGGCTTACCGCCCTCTGCAGAAAAGGGATCCATGTTGGCTGTTGTGGAGGAATTGGTTCGAGAGAAATGGGTTGTTGTTGATGATGCGCTGTGGCCGCAGTTGTTCACGGTGGCTTCATGGTGGAGAGGCAACTCTGCCGAGATAACAAGGGGCAGGTGGGCCGACCGCCTTGAATCTATACATTTCCATCAGCACTTCACACTTCATCGACATTCCATCTACAAATCTATGATTATTTCTACGGTTTCGGACTTGAGATTCGGAGAATTTGAGTATTTATTTATTCATTGCCAAAAACTAGTAGTACAGGGTATCAACATGGGACTAATATTGAAAATCCCATGAAACAAAAAAAAAAACAAATTGGTGATATATGTACATAAGTTGAGGCCTCGTTAAAACCAACCGGGTTGAAACCTTGTGGGATAAATCCCCCAGCTGGAAAGAGTACCCCGTGTCTGCTCCCTTCTTCCCTCGCTGGCGCAATATGGTTTGGTGCCGGCGACAACAGACAATATAATTTGCATCAAATCCCTCTCTACGGATCACTGAAGAAATCTCTTCTTCAAGGCCCGACATGCTTTGTGGGTCTTGCTCGATACAACTTGCATAACTACAACAGGCAACAGCTGGAGCTCAGGGTTGGTAGCCGAAGAGGGCGATGGTGAGGAAGCGGCGGCGGCGATAGATGATTCCCCGGAGGGCCGTGGTAAGGCTCCACAGTATGGGAGCAAACAATTTTCGTACTCCGAGTCAGTCGCAGTAGTGGGTGGTGAGGCTGAGTCTCCTTCTTCGTATAGGAACTCAGCGAATGTCTGCCTTGGCGCGTGTCGGCGGATTGTACTGTACAGCCGATGAATAGATGACTCGCTGCGGAGTGTCGGGATTGGGGGTTCGTGCTCCAGCTTCATTGGACCCAGCGTTCGCAAATCGAGGGAGGAACTTCGGGAGAACTGGGGGAGTCGTTGTTGTTCGGGTCGAAAGGCTTTGTGGGGGTGGTAGGTGATGTTGGGAGTGATGACCACCCGGTGGACTTTAACCTGATGGATCTCAAGTGTCCTATAGTCTATGTTAATACATACTAGAGTAGACTTGGATATAGGTGTTTACCTTCGGTCCATGCTTTCGTTGTCTCCGTAGAAGGCCTCGAGCCAGTTGGAGTCTTCGGGCGGTTCGTAGTAGATTTGCACGGTTGACATCGTGCTATGTTGTATGTAGCCTTGGTTTATTTTTGTTACAAGGCCTGGAAGGGATTGGGGGTTGTTGTGGTGTATCTCCTGGAGTCGATCGAGTATTCAATATACTCTCTAGTGAGGGCCAGTTGAGGTATACCTGAAGTGTATTAGATATATACCTGATGGCAGGATGATTTAATAGTTAGAGGAGATAGATGGAGAAGTAATAAATAAGAAGAAGAGAAATGGATTCAAATGCCGTATATATATAGAACATGATTTGAGAGCTAAGCCTTCTTGAGAGTCGGCATCGAGTTCTATAGAATTAAAGATTATACTTCAACCGTACTTTCCCTAGTACAGGTATATTAAAGGCTACATCTATGGTTGCCAGGATGAAAGCTGTTTCGGGGGTGATAGAAGGAGCGTCGGAATCACCGCAATGAGGAAAGTACATCTCAAAGTCAGGAACCGCCCCGACAGTAGAAAACCTTATAATGAAAAGAACATATCAATGAAAAAGGTACTTTCCCAAATAGGGACAAGCCGACATACACCATAGTGATGGTAGAAGACCACACCGAAGACGAGATATCATCGCCAGTAGTGGGGGTAGAAATCGGGGGAAATGAAGATATATGGCTGGTTATGTAGCATTATGTGATGGATGTAGTGAATGCCTAGTATCAGATAGTCCTACAACATCGTTACTACAACAAGCGGTGGGCTGTTGATTCAAATGCAGGATCCAGCCTTATGAATCACGCTTTGTACGACGTCTATAGGCTATCGTCGGTACATACAGCTCAAGATGGTGCAATCATATTCAACTAAGGTCCAAACAAGTAGTGAGTGCACTGCATTGCCTTACACAATAACTACTTCTCCGTTCATGTTTCTCATTTACGGCAGGGTTTTGTGTCCATCGCGCCAACCGAGCTTTTCGCTGGCAAAAGGCTAACAAGCTGCTATCAACCTTTATACATAGATTTGAACATCGTAGATGCTTTGGAGTAGGCCATATATCGAGTTCATGAAACTATCTAAAATAGAGAAATAATCTCATGCTTATAAGGGCTTGTACATAGGTTGGCGCAATGGACCCAAAAGCCTGCCATCCTCATTTCTAAATTAGACAGAACGTTCAGTCCACATCACCCAGATCAATGACATTAGATGGATCTTCGCCCCATCAAACTTTGAAGGCAGCCCAATTCATATTGGTTGAGTGGGCTGGTTCTCCAGTGCCGCTGAAGAGATAGCAGGACTGACCACCACTAGGGTCCCAGTAATCAACCGAGTTGCAGGTCGAATCTGCACTGCATAGCTTCAGGCATTCAGTGTAGGAGATTCCTGATGCAACATAGCGGCTGTTGTCACGGTATTGCTTGTCACAACGAATCTCGTACTTTGTTCCATCTAGATCGACTTGGGAGTTATTGTCATCGTTGCAATTCACCTCCTTAGGTGCAGGAGCTGGGGCGGGATTGGCTGGAACAATGGGCTCTGGATCTTGTTCCGGCTCTGGGGTAATTATGGCCGGGGGAGGGCTTTCTGGAACAATAGGCTCTTGTTCCTGCTCCGGCGTAGGAGTTATGTTGACTGGAGGAGCAGTTGACCCACATGAACTACCACAGGAGTCCTCTGTGCACGCTCCCGAGCAACCAATAGAATAAGCGGTTGCCCATCCGGAAGCGTCGAGGGTGGGCTTTGAGGTACGCTTGCCGAGGTAGCATTTCTTAGTGCGCTTGTGGTAATCGACACTCTGGCATCCGATGAACGAGGCGCAGGAATCTGTGCATTCCTTCAAGGAGTTGGAATCCAGCTTGTGGAACCAAGCTGTCCCATGGCGCTTCTGACAGTCCAAGTGGAATACCTAAAATATTGTTAGTGATTATCCAACGATGCACCATAAATGATCCGAAAAACACTCACCTGCTTGTTCTTGGCAGTGTAGATCTGACCATCCGCATCTGGGCACTCGGTTGAGCATGCTGCTCGCACGCTTTCCGGGATCTCGATCACCGGAGGATCGGTGAGATAGGCCCAGTCGTGTAGCGTGTTTCCACACTTTCCATCTGAGAACGTGCCACTTCCATAAAGCTTACAATCACCAGCTTTTTCATCGCCGTTGTCACCAAAGACGTAGCGGAACCTTCCCCGTAATGGTTGTCAGGTAAAAATATATATCTTTCTTGAATGTGAAGTACTTACGCTTTGCAACTATCTGTCAAGGTGCACTGGTTGATGCAGTCATCATACCCCGTGGTCTGCACATTTTTGATGAGGCTTGAGCCCTTAGACTCGTGCATGCAACACTGGAAGGTGTAGTAGCCACCATCACTGGTCTCGATAATATCGCCATCATCTGAAAGATGTTTAGTTAGCTAGCCACTGGAATTCACAGAAGGAGAATCATTCACTTTGAGGACACTGGGGGACACCCTTGATGACCACCTGGTTGGTCTTTAGCGTTGTTACCTGTGTACCATCACATGTTCTAGCATCAATCGCCTGAGCAAGGTACAGATTGAGTAGGACAAGTGCATTTGTGGACAGCTTTAGAAATCCCATATTGACTGATGGTCACTGACACTCAAAAAGTACCGGTTGAATGGATGTATTTATATTCACCAACCTTGACCCCTAAATTTCTAGGATACTCATTTCAGGTTCAGCTGTCGATCACTCACTTTGACGGTCAATTCCCCACGGCTCTCAGCTCCACCTCGTCCACCCCATAGCTGAAGGGGGGTCGTGAACCGTATTGGCGTTATTTCAAGATCGCAGGTATCGTCCGGTTAATGACACGTAATAAAAAACCCAGTAGACGCATGATAAGCCATTTCCTGGATTATGCATGTGCACCGACTCGTCAGTCAAATTGGCAGATATTAGGATAGTCTATCGATGCCGAGCATTAGGGGGTCACACTGTGGTTCTTAGATATGCATTTACGCTGCGTCGGGAAAGTTTCTAGTTGTCCATGACTCTGTGGCTTGTATTTCAATAGATTGAATAAACGCATATATCCCTCGATATGCATACCCCTCAATATTTGGTCGGCATACCCCCTGTCGCGTCGGAATAACTAAAAAGCAAAAATAAATAGCACCCGAGGATAGGATCGTGTGCAGGGCTAGAATAGTTGGGTCCAGGTTATCCCGCAAGTTATCTAATGAAGTCACGTTTGCCTGTTCTTGGACAAGTATAGAAAGGAAATGTGAAATGCGCCTAGCTAAGCATTACAAATTAAAAGATTCTCGACCTAAGAAGACTAGCCGTATATTTTTTGAAGCCCATTGAGGACTAAATCAAATGGAGCCTAAGTAAAGCGTGATACTCCAATAGAAACCACTCAACATCAATTCACCTAGCGGGGCTTGCTAGTCCTAAATTATTGTACATGCAGAGTTTCCTGTTGGCTAACATCCTCTCTCTTATCCTTCCAGCTCCAAATGTTCATGCCAACCTTAGTACCCGAGGTTACGGGCATACCCGCATGAAGTGTTTCCCGATATCCAAGTCCATCCTCCTGGATGTTGACCCAGTAAACAGCGCTGCCAGCAATTGGCTTGAAAATGACTCCTGGTTCCGTCGATTCACAGTCAATGTAGTTGCACCAGGCACTTTCCGTTGGTCGAGGAATCAAAGGGAAATGAGTGCCACCACCAGTACAGTCGCCTTTTAAGAAGACATTGTAAGTTGAATAGCGATTGAGGCGATTGGGCGGCGAGTCGAACTGGTCGTGGTGATAAGAAAAGAACCCATTCTCGCGGTAAAGTTGGAGAGACAACTGTTCCATGAGCAGCTTTGAGTCTAAGTTCTGGTACCGGACTGCCCTTTGTTCGATGCATTGCAAAATCTCGTCCCGTGGAGGCCATGCGTTCTCGGATTTTCGGAAATTTTCGTCGTTGCTACTTACTCCCTGTCGGTAGACCACAGATGGAGTGAAGGTTTCTTTCCTATAAGACAAACATTAATTACCTCGATGGCTCAGTTTCGGAGAGGATTTGATCGTACGTAGTTTCCAACAAGTGCGCAATCTCATCAGGAGAAACAAAGTTGGGGATATAGATGATAAGGGGATTCTCATGAAGTGTGAAGTACTCTATATGAGAAAAGTCCGGACAGGCAAGAGACTCATTTGCGGCAATGAGGCCTAGGTCCTGCAATCCCTCCGGCCATACTTTGTCATCGGGCTCGAAATTTATCTGTGCAGTCGACGGCGGACCGTCGTCGATGCCCGTGATAGAAACGCGCTCATCTGGCATGGACACACCCACGACATGGACGCCCTGCGCATTGGATTCAAACTGTATTGACAGTGGAATCGTAACATGAAACCTTTCGATCGTATTGACGGCCATTGTTAAGTTAGCAAATGAACATGAGATTGAAGGAAAGGGTAGATGTGTTAGGGAGTGGAAGAAACTTGATGGGGGCACTGGGAGATACCCGAGATTCGTGACTATTTCATCACGGACATCTTGGATTTTGCCACTTTACAGTCTAGTATAAACTAGCTTCATTCAATGCGACCTATCCATGCTAGTATGCACGAGAAAAGCAAAAAATCCCAAGACCTACGCGCCTGGGCATACAGCCACTGTTACATGTGGCAAATTTTCCAGTCAATACCTTGGGTAATTATAGACGAGCGTAAATGTATTGAAAGACATTTGACAGGTCAGAGAATGCAGGAGGCTGAATACCCCACAAGGCCGGGACGGGGCAAGCTGAAGGTTATCTATCGTAAATCGTGGGGTTATATGCAGGTGAGATATAAGTGCACGAACTGCATGTTATGTATGCACCTGCGAACAAATCACTGTAGATCCCTGTCAAAATGATGTGTCTCAATCCTCGGAAAAATTCTATCATGACCCCTAGCCCTAGGGGCATGCACGAGGACGTAATGAGTGGTAAGTTACATAACTTGGTAAGAATTATCGAGACATTGAATGAAATATGAGAAGTTGGTACAGTTATAGTGCTTACAAGGAAAAGAGAGTGAGCCCGCGAACCAGCAAAACTTATATATTGATTCAAAACAGAGTATGAAAGCGACTAGGCAACATAAATCCAATAGCTACCACGGAAGATTTGCTCACTAATTGACAGTACTGCATAGTGTCCGTTCTCCCTATACTAGCTCATCCCTCCAGGTGCTCTTCCCGGCGGCCGTCCAGTCCACGATCATCTACATACACCATTGATTTCATTGCTGCCAGGGAAGGTCTCCTGGCACGGGTTGTTGAAGCAGCCGTAGTGGCTGCCATCGGCTCGGAATACAGCAATGGCACCAGGCGCAATACCGGTGCAGTAGGCCGCAGCGATTGCCTTTGGATCTGGTGCTGGGACAGCTGGTGCTGGCAGCGCCGCACCACCAGGACATCCGGGATCAGGGAATCCGAAGGTAAAAGGCAACATAGCGCACTGATTACTGGAAATCCTTGTCCACTTGAAAAACAAGGCATCTGATTGTCCGAGGAGTGATGCCAGGATAACAAGCTTCAGATTGGTAATTTGCATTTTGAAGGACTGGTAGATGATGATCCCTAGGTTTATTATTATATGGGCGGAGTCGGAGGGGGAGGAGAAAATACCTTTGGTAGCTTGGGGTGACGTCGAAAAAGATATATAGTATGGGGCTGAAGTGGATAATGGATAATTGACAAGGTCGAATGGTCTCTTTATACTTGGAGAGCTGGGGCTAGGTGCTGTTATACCACCCAAGGCTTACCTTAGATGTTTTCCCCTCCTCATATTTCCACATCTTCAATATATTGCACAACACCCAGCTGAATAGTGGGTCATGCAAATGCTCTGTCGGCTAGAGACATTCCTTTGAGAAAAGCAAGCAAGTTTCTTGTGATAGAGATCACGGTCATACATGCTGCGGCATTATCTAGTCCGGATATCTGCATTGGTCGATACGAAAGCCTTGCGTTGGAAGTGTATCTTGGCTCTGCACCCCAGAGCAATATGATGGCTAAGCTGAGCGTGAGATATCATCCATGATCGTGCATGAAAAACTGCGAGCTTGGACAAGAAAAGCCATTCGTATCGCGCATGAAGCTGAGGGCGGGGCACTCAAATTAGCAGCTATTGAATTGATTGTTTAGTTTCGCTGTACTCGGCAATACAGGATATCTTTCACTCGGGAGAGCCAAGTAGACGACCAGCCGGAGTTGGTATATCCCTCTACAATCTGCGCATTCTATAAATATTTCCCTGCCTCTTACCTCCTGCCTTGTCACATCCCTATCATCTTCGAAACTTTCTGGGTCCTCATCATTTCAGACACAATGAAGCCTGACATTACTTTATATTTGATTGGGGCGGCCCTCCTTGGGCTTGCGAATGCCCAAATTAAGCCCGGTCCCAGGCCTGCTGCCCCTGCCCCTGCTGCCCCCGCCCCTGCCCCTGCTGCCCCCGCCCCTGCTGCCCCCGCCCCTGCTGCCCCCGCCCCTGCTGCCCCCGCCCCTGCTGCCCCCGCCCCTGCTACCGGTGGCATTCAACCTGGTAGCGGTGGTATCCAACCCGGCAGCGGTGGTATCCAACCCGGCAGCGGTAGCATCCAGCCTGGCAGTGGAGGTATCCAACCCGGTAGTGGTGGAATTCAGCCTGGCAGCGGTAGCATCCAGCCTGGCAGTGGAGGTATCCAACCCGGTAGTGGTGGAATTCAGCCTGGCAGCGGTGGGATCCAGCCCGGCAGTGGTGGAATTCAGCCTGGAAGCGGTGGCATCCAGCCCGGCAGCGGTGGTGGTGTTCAACCAGGCAACGGCGGTGGCACTACACCTGGGTCCTGGGTCTGTCCCAACCCGCGCAAGGCATACAATCAATCCCCACCAGTGACCACTCAAATCTCCTGTCCTGCGAGTAAGTGACTTCTGATCGTCACCGGTATTGCTCTTGGCTTCTAATACAATACAGGCGATGGAAGTATCTACGAGACAGTTGATGGCAGCTGGTACTACCTACAGTGCTGTACGCAAGGCTCAGCCAACGCCTTGTCTGTCGGTACACCGCAAGTCTCGAGCATGGAGGAATGTCTCAAGAAATGCGCAGATGTCGCGAACTGCGAAACGTGAGTCAACCCATGGCGCACCCATCAAGGAGGTAGAGTGTTTTCCTAACGTTGTGCAGTGTGTCGTTCGAGCCTTCCACCCTCTATTGCAATCTGCTCGACTTCGGTTCTTTTTCTCAAACCTCCCACGGAAGCCAGCTCCATGCCTTCCCGACTTCCCCTCCGGTTACCAAGCAGCCCACAATGACAACTCGCCGATGCGCTACCACCTGTCCCGAGGGCAATGGCCAGATCTATGTGAGCCCGTTTGGTGAGGTAAGATGATCTTCCCCAAGCCACTTAGATAATCCTCCCAACTGACAGTCGATTTAGACCTTCTACATGAGCTGCGGAATGCGTCACGGCACCCCGTATCTCAATGTTGAGTCTGTGTCCACCCTTGAAGATTGCATGGATCACTGCGCAGGCTCCCCTTCATGCAGCAGTGTTGACTTCGACCAAAACAAGCGAGTGTGCTATCTGAGCAACAATGACAGTCCGCCAACTATCACAGCTCCTCGATTTGCCGCTGCTCACTCTGTAGGTTGCTCTGGAGCGTGTGAGGGGTGCGGCAAGAAATCGTGTGGCGCACAACAGCCAAAGCCCGACCCCACTCAATGTGTTGACAACCAGATTGTTAATGTTGGCAACCACCCATTCCGGGTCAAATGTAACCAATGCTATGTGGGCGCAACAGCACAATCGGTCTCCAGGCCTGAAGCCAAAACCCACGAGGAATGCATGCAGCTTTACCTATTGGAAGCTAATAACTATATTGGAGCGCATTGGTTGAAGAATGGCGGATGTCGTTTGAAGCCTGCTGGCTCTGCAGTCTCGGACCACGTTGACTGTGCTGCAGCCTTCGTGCCCCTCTGGAAGTGATTTCTGGTTAAGACTTCAGTCTCATCGCAGTCGACCGTTACTATTGGTAGTTGCAACATATTCTGCTGAGTGGTCTGTCCCGCCCTTTCGGTTGATATATCATTTTCTATGTTATTCCAATATATTTATCTACACACTATACTTTCTCTGTATTCCTGCCTTCCAGCAAATTGCTATACAGCAGAAAACCCACTATATCTGGGAGTATTTGCCACCTTTGTCTCCAGCATCAACCATTCGCCCAATTCGAGCCCAAACCCCAACAACTAGACGCCTAAGACAATTCCCTCACAGGAAAAATGACCTAATTTCAAAAATACCCCAATAGATCATCTAGAATCCCTACTATCAGCTCGTTACAATAAAATTTAACTTTTATTCTTTCATGGCTGACAATATCTCGCCTGATTACGGCCTCATTACAGTGGTCTAGAGTTTACGGAGCATGAATAGCAATGCTGGTACTACCTAGGCGATTGGATAAGTTCATCAAGGCTGTCGAACATGCACCCTGCAGGATCTGGTCACATGGCATATGCATATGCATCCAGTCAATAGTTATGATACCGCACGGGCATGGCAATGTCCGTATGTAAAACCCCTGAGCTGATCTCCCCGCAATCCTTCCAGCTATCAGAGCTCAGCCTGGGCTGTGATTTAAGAGAGCTGTTATTTAAGAGAGGAAGAGACCTAAGCAAGCCCCTCCCATCGCCCGCATTCTAATCCTCGCCAAAAATGGTCAAACTCATCAATATACTTCTTGTGTGCGGTGCTCAGCTCCTGTCTGAGATCCCCTCGACACAAGCCCAAGGATTGGCAGGGCAGGGATCTGGAACCGCTAGTGCTCGCTTTGGCCAAGGCTCAGGATCTAGAAACGGGCTTGGTCGTGGGTGTTGTTGCTTCGAAGAGCCAGAGCCTGAGCCAGAAACTCCTGTTGAGTGTAAACCACAGTGTAAGAGGGTCTTGAGACTTTGTCCAAATGGAGTGTTCTGACAGTATTCCTTAGGTCCCTCCGCGCATGCGAAGGCTTTCCAGTGTAATGGCCGGAAATATAAGCAGTTCTGCGGCATTCGTATGTCTTGCAATACTCACGGCATGATATGTATTCATACTAACTATTGCTTTTAGATGTCGCTACACCCACACTGAGAGAGTTTGACGTGTCTTCTTACCAAGAATGTTTCGACAGCTGTATTCAGGAACCTCAGTGTCACGCTCTTGATTTTATGAACAACCACTGTTGGCTGAAAACGCAAGGTGTTGATCCGCCTCCCAAAGCCATGCCGAGTAACCAGGATATTAGCATTATCTTCCTCTAGGGGTTTCATGTCGCGACACTCGGGATCTGGGGTTTAGATCACTTTTGCATTGTCTTGGTTGACGATCTGACTTCCAGAATTACTTTTGTACGGGCGAGGAGAAGACCAATATGTGTGGTACAATATATGAATGATCCCTGTTTAGTCGTAAGATTGAAGGAGATTTCAATGAAGGACTTATACTACCTCTTTTAGTGCTACGTAGTTTAGTATTTAGACTAGGCAAATTGGCTTTATTTGCCTTATCGAGTATATTTGAAATATATGCTCTCGTTCATCGGTCATAAGGCAAAAGATCATAGTACCATCTACGTACCATCCGCCAATTGAAATTGATGAGAGTCTAGGAGAATAGAGAGTAGTAATACAACTGGAGTCTGCTAACTGACTGCTTGAAGGGGAAAAGAAGAAGAGTGAGAGGAGATATATCTTGCGAACATTGTCATCTGACGCCATCCCAACCGAGATCAGCAATTTCCGATCAGCCCTGCCATCTGAATTTACCCTCCCGGAGGGTTTTCACAACACCCAGTGGCATGAACTCGCGATTGACCGCAGCCAGGCCACCGTAAGTACGAGTCATCTCCTGGCGATACAACTCCGCCACCCAGGACCAGTAGGGAGTCATTGTCCAAGTGATAGGACCTTCGGAGGACTGCCGACTCAGGGCATCTTGCTCCCTTTCGAAGCCCAAACTCTGCTCCACGCTCGTCTCGCTCGGCACCTCGGTCAATTGCGTGTACACGTCCACAAGAGAATCACTAAATGTTTCTGGATACCGGGTGTAGTCTTCCAGGGACATGAATGGCTTGTTTTCGGTGCTCCATTTGCTCCGAGATCTGCTGCCAGCATCAGCGCCGTTTCTCTTGAACTTCTCCTTGGCTGCCTCGTATTCTTTCTCATCCTTCAGTGAAGCCTTGTGCAGTAGCTTCCGGGGGGTCTGCTTGATGTTGTGACGCATAGCGAGAAGTCTAATGAAGGGATTCAGGAGCTCCAAGCCGCCGAGTTCAACAGGGTAATAGAAGAATCCATCCGGGAGATCGTGCATGTCGAATCTATCTGCTATCACAGTGCGTAGATAGTCAGTCACGCCACTAATTTGAGCGGATGGGCTTTTATCGTCTGAGGTTTTGTCGAATAGTGTGCGCTCGATGCGGCTCATGGTGGAAATTGCCATGTCGATATGGTCCCGACCAAAGCAAATAGCTGGTGTTGCAAAGTTATTCGTAAAGAAACGGCCGAAGTAGGTGTTCCATGCCTGTACCCAAGTGAACACACTTTTACAGGACGAGAGCTGTAGTAAAAGCTCCTCGATATGCTTATCGACCTGGGCCTGGTCGATTATGAATCGTTCTTGCTCCGAATCTAGAACAAGGAAGCCCCAGCGGATATCACCGGTGGGAAGAGCTGACTGTTTCATGGTCTTCTTCAGGCCCATTTGAACAGTTCCAGTCTTCTCCTGGTTCAACTTCAGACCCATCACCTGAGTAAACTGCTCCATTGCCTGCCATGCTTTGACGCAAGTGTTTTCTGCGCCCCAGAACCAGAAGTCATCATGCAGCCGGTACAGGAAACCGCCATCTGTAGCTTGATTGACTCCGTAGTCCATACAGAAGAGAACGGATTCTCCGAGGCAATCAGCGAGTGTGTGACTTATTGGAAGGCCACGCTTGCGAACTTGAATAGTGGCATCAGGTCCATCTTGGGAAAATTTGAGAGGAGCCTCCAGGAACAACACAAAGAATTGGAGCCATCGATCGGAAACCCCAAAGAACTTGAGCACGGCGAGCAAAGTGACATGGGGCATTGAAGGGCCAAACCACTCAAAGTCCGAGCGGACTGCAGTAAACTCTCCATGCTGATGTTTATGGATGATTGATTCTGTGATTAGGAGGTGGAGCAGGGAGTGCTTTGTATCCAGGGGATTCTTTTGGCCGGGGTTCTCCTCGTCATACTGCCGTGCACCTTCATCGGTTGAAGTGGGCAGTTGGCTCATGAAATATTTGTCGATGTATGTCTCCTTTCGAATTTCGTTGATCTTGCCAGAGTGCGAGTTCGCATCTCGGCCAAGAAAGTACTTGCGCATTTCCTTATGGTCTTCGGGGATATCCTCATGAGGGACCTTCCAGGCGTTGGAGTATAGGAATGTCTTAAATACTTCCCGCAGCTTCACAGCCCACGTTGTCCCGAGGTACTGTAGCAGAAGAGCGTCAAGAAGGTCTTCGTCCATGAAAACCCGGTATTTACCGTTGAGATGACGGCGCATTTCAACAGGGATACCATCTGCGGCTCCGGTCCAGGTCCAGCTTTCGAGCGAGGCAATGCGCATGTTGAGCACATCTGCCACCTCCTGGGTAACCTCATTGTTCCGCATGCACTCTTTCAGAATTGCAGACTTTTCGTCTCCAAGGAGGTCGGCCTTAAGCAGTGCCTGAGAGACCCACTGGAGTTCATCTACATCGAGCCACCGACCCTTTGAGGATAGTTCTGCTCCAAACGATTGGATACTTGCTCGGAGGTCCTTGAGTGCCTGCTCAGAAAGCTTGGTCTTGGTGAAAAGATCATTAAGGTATGACCGGATTGTGTCTTCATTCACATGGGTCGCAGGAGTAAAAATCAAGGACTCCCAAGTCGCGCGTTGCTCATGCATTTCTGCTCGCCCAGTCTTTTCAAGGTTGGGGTCGGACTCGGTGGATTTAGTTTTATCTGCAGTGGCAGTAATGCTTCCATCTAAGTCCGAAAGCCATTCCGTAACCAACTTGCTGTAGAACTCACCATGCTCATGCTTTATCTCAAGATACCGCAACTCTTTTTCAAGTTGAGTGACGCGATCCTGTAGAGCTGCCTGTGAGATGGAAGGGTCGTAGCGACTCTGTAGAAGAAAGTGACGCATATTCCTATGATCCTCTGGCTGCAAGCGACCGACCGTCCGTGATGTGAGTTTCTCTTCCAATTCCTCCTCCGAGATATCGGCATCTAGATCCACGTCATTTTTGTCGAGCGTATCCTTAGGGTACCCTTTCATGCGTGAGATTCCATCCAGCAAAGCCTGAGCACGGGTTCGTAGATCTGGGGCTGCATTGGCAACGGCAAGGATCTCGGTTTTTCGCAGATCGAACAGAGCGCGCTGCTTGGAGAGTTCACTGATTTTCGTGGCAGTGATAGACTTGAGAGTCTGCGGGAGAGCTCGGTTTGCCATAATTATATTTGGGGTTTTATGTGATATGAAAGGAGTTTGCACGTGAGGTAAGATGTGGTTTGAATTTCTGAAATGAGAAAAATAGTTGAAATGTCTTAAATGTGGAGTTGAGATGCTGTGGGTCGGTTTTAAATAACGGCCAATGCTGCCAGGCAACATTGACTCATACACTGAACATAACCTTGGCATTTTCGAGAAATGGTTATATGATTCCAAGAGAAAAAAAAGGTCGGACAGCCAAAAGGGGTTGTGGTACTTTGAAGGCTAAGATAGGGGACCTAATCGGGTATAGTGTCAACATATAGGTTGATTTATGTGATGGCTTTATCCAATGGATTATAGCAAAACCTATAGACGTCTTGAGGTAATAAAAGGCGATGTTCAATAATATATACTCATGCAGACTCAATCCGAGCAAATCCTTCCAGCATGCCTTGGACTATCCCTTTGTAGTACTCACTAGCAAAAATAGCATCTGTAGACTTAATGCACATGTCCAAGAGATCAGTACGACTCAAGCCGAAGTGTTGTGCCGCCAACAAGTACTCATTCGAGACGGGGCTACAGAAAAATCCTACATCATCGGTCTGTGGGAATCAAGAGTCAGAAAAAGAGAAGAAAAAAACAATCGCTATGTTAGTTGGAACAACTTACACATAGCGCGATGGGGCAATCCTCGTATCGCCAATAACCGAAATGATGATCCAAGAACCCTCCATTAATCATCTTCGCGTGGACATTGCAAGAAATGCAAAGTTCGAGACTGAGCTTACGCCGCGCAATCTCCTTCTTGATCTCATCAGGCACATGGATGACATGACCCAGTCGATCAGGCTGGAAAGAAAGAAGGGTCGAAAGTTCGCTCACAGAAGCCGATTCTGTTGTTTCGGCAAAATGAACGGTGATTCCTAGGCCATTGGCTTTGGCTTTGACAAATGGTTCTTTGTAGATGCTGACATCGCCTTTGGTTGGGTTGCCGCAGATATCCACCCCCACCACCCCGCGCGATTTATGTTCGATCGCAAGATTGACGATCTCATCCGCCTCTATTGCTGTCATGCTGCCCCGATCGATGGCTAGAATTAAAAACACTGACATTCGTTTATTTTTGCTTCGGAATTTCTCGATTGTATCCAAGACTGAGTTGATGTATTGTTCTCGAGTAATGCCGGGAGATGCTCTCGGTATGGTCCTTAATTCGAGGTACACAACTCCATCGTCGAGAAAGTCTTCAAGAACTGAACTGGTCGCATATACCAAGCTTTCTAGGTCGTTGCAGAGCTGGTATGTCAACTTGGAAAATGTTGAGAAGAACCTGAGGCTTCGTTAGCCTGCACGATCATGATTTTCCCTTGTATATTGCAGATATTGCAGACACAAACACCTACGTTTCCAGTGTATAATTGACCTTGCCCGGAGGCATTAGCACCAGTGGATCCTCCACATCGAAAGCGGGGTTCTGCTCCTTTTTCCGTTTCCAAATTTCATGGAGGCATTGGCGACTGATGCTCCCGCTGAGATGAGCATGAAGCTAGAGCGTGATACATTCAGTGAAAAGCCAAGACTAGGATGAGGCATCAATAGTACCTCGATCTTCGGCAACGCTTTCGTAAATCTCTGATCGACTGGTTTTGAATCATCCATGGCTTGGTCAACCGTGGGAGCCTACGGCAATGGAGGATGGGAGTGTTGGTAGAAGCGGAAAGAAACTGCCAGGGCAGGTGACTTCCTTCACAACTTCACATCACCACGCTACTAGCTAGGTAGGTATTCTCACTGGCTGAATTATACCCCCACATTATTCGGGAGGTCAATATCAAACTGTGGGTCTGTGGAATATTTATATTTTTAATTCCTGCGCCAAGCAGCTAAGTATTGGAATAATATAATATAGTAGTATGTCTTAACAAAAGCTATCCAATCTAGAAATATACACCAGACATAGAGGAACAGAGGAACAAAGGCAAAAGAAATGTATACTCTATACACTAGTTACTGCAAAACACTCCCCTGAGAGAAAGCATGCTTTGCTAAGTTTGCTTTATATTCAACCGCAAGACCGCCGACAATTTGTAGCAGTGACAGTCAATTGGCTACCGGTGACCACAACTCGCAACTCCCAATTCCATAACGGCAGCGACGTATTCCAGTTCTGTTCTCGTCCAAGATTGTATACATTGCGATGATAGTGAGATCAGGCCATAATCATGGGAGGCATCTCCTCATCTCCCTTTTCGGGTGTATGAGTCGGAAGTTTGCTCCAAGGAATGATAAAGGTAGACAGAAACGCACAACCCGCCAGAGCAGTTGCAACCGCAAAGGCAGCCTTGAGTCCTTGCATATACGCAATAAGAATGCCAGGAAGATCATCCGGACCAAACACATCTCGGAGCTGCGCAGCACCTGTTGAACTAACGAGCTCTGGGTCCACTTGAGGGGCGCTGATGGGCAAATGAGCCAACAATTGGTTGATGAATGCGGCCTGTCCTGATGCGGTGGTGAATGCACCTCCGACTGTCTGGAAGACTATAAATTCTGTTAGCTTGACTTTCTAATACTCGGTCGAGGCGGGTGCATACAGTAAAGGTTGGCTGTAACGGCTGAGATATCTTCCGCGCCCACATTGGCTTGGGCAATGTTTAGGCCGTTCTGGACGGAGAAGGCGATCGCAGATCCCGCCAGAATTTGGAAGCCAATCCACTTTCCAACCGAAGTCTCGATATCCAGAGTGTATAGCAGACCAATTGCTACCGTGGCGATTCCTGAGCCAGCCAACATTGTTGGAGCTGCATGGCCGGTTTTAGCGACCACGATACCTCCAATAACGCAGAAGATGCCCACTGAAATAACCATGGGAAGGTTATCAACACCGGATTCGATTGGGCTGGCACCTTTGACGCTTTGGAAGTAGATTGGCAGCTGGTAAAGCAATAGAATAAGGGTACCCATGAAGAAGAATTGGTACGGGGCGACACTCCACAATGACCGTTGTTTGAACAATCGTGGTTGAAGCATCGCATACTCCCCGAGATAGATCTCCCATGCAATTAGGGCAACTGTGAGGAGACCAAACCCGACCAGTAATCCAATAACCTTGCCGCTTTTCCAGGGCAAAGTGTTGCCGCCATACTGAAGGGCTAAGAGAAAGCAGATAATCGCGGCCATGGCCAGTACCACGCCGAATGGATCCAGTTGTAACAGCTTCTCCTTAAGGCTGACCTTTGGGGGCTTGGCAGCAGCTGGGAGATGGAAAAAGAAAAGTACTAGTCCAGCAGCGAGACCTCCAACCGGCAGATTGATGTAGAAACACCACCGCCAGGTGACACTCTCTGTAAAGGCACCACCGATCAAGGGCCCAAGAACAGCGGCAAGGCCGTAGGTTAATCCAATGATACCCATCATGATCGGTCGTGTTCTCGGTGGAGTACTGAAGGCAACAATACTGGTGCCTCCGACTGAAATTCCAGCACCACCCCAACCAGCAATAGCTCGACCGACGATCAAGGCTTTGGAAGTTGGTGCAACACCGCAAATCAGACTGCCAACCTCGAATATCGCCATTGAAACGATAAAGGTGTACTTAAGGTCGAAGTACTTGAAGGCCTTTCCCCACGTAGCCTCGAGACCACCGAAGGTCATGAAGTACGCGGCGGAATACCAAGATACATCGTAGAGTCCATGAAATTCGTCCGTGATCTTGGGGACCGCGGTTCCAACAATTGTCTACGTTGGTGTGTCAGTAGTGGAATCGCAAGCATTGACATGTTCTCCAGTCGGCATAGATCACTCACTTGATCCAGAGAGATTAGGAAGACACCCATAACCGACGCGCCGGCAAGCAGGACTAGTTTTAAGCCCCGTGGATACTCCGCCTCGGGGTCGGCCTGCTCCAATGATGATCCAGTATGGTCACTGTCGCTGGTATCCGCAAAGATATCCTTCTTCTCTTCCATGCTGCTAGCAGCCTCGGTTGTTTGTGTGTCACCAACCATCACCTTGTCGGGTGCTGTTACTTTCGGGATGGTTGTCGTATAAAGCTGCGCAACAGGGGGAGGGAGGCTCGATATAGGAGGCGGTGTTCTTTCCTATAGCGGATTCACAGCGGGAGATTGACAGGAAATATAAGGTTTTCTAACTGGGAAGTTTGGAGAGGATAATAGCTGTTACATCTCATTTTGGTAATCGCCACAGGCCTTGAACAAAGAAAAGTCAGGGCTAAAGGAAGCCAAGAGGATGATTATGAATCTGATCTTACAAATCTTGAGAGATTGCCCTAGAGATATGTACGTATGTAGTTAAATGGCCGATCAAGCCTTTTTCTCGCCTTTTTCTCGCCTGTTTCTCGCCCCCCTTATATCCACACGACTTTAAGCTCCGACTTAATAAGTCGCCGAACTTTTTATCCCCACAAAATTTTATGTACTTATCATTACGCTATTCCCTAGGAATATAATTGCCCTGTTAGGACTATTAGGGTATTAATTGGATTTGTTCGGGGGTTTAGGGTTAATTCAACCGCTAGACCCGTTATACTCCCGATCTGACTGAAGATCCTTTTACTCAGGATTCATGTAAATTGCTAAATTGGGCTGTATAGATTGTATTATACCACTCCTTAAATAGTATCATTCAATCTCACTTGGTTCCGTCCCGTAACCCTAACCTTATCAATGTTTAACCTTGCCCACGATGCTGAGTGATTGGTGTGAAGGATTTCCAAATACAACCTCAGAAACTAGGTAACATTATGTAATTACCTTGTTAGTCCACGGCCCCGGGGGTGCCCTCGGGAATTTATGTATTATGTAACGATTTATCATGTATCAGAGGATGCATCCACCCGAGCACTGGAACATGCAATTTATCCGGCTGTGGCTGCGCAGTACTATCGAATACAATCGTTTGATTTAATACAAAAGCAGGAATTAATATCACTCGTCGAGCGCGAAATGTGCACAAAGTCCCGTAATTTCACTAATCCGAAGTAGTATAAAGGTGCGTTGGGCGCTAGGACCAACTACGGAGTACAGCGTATCACACCCCTGCAAGGAAGCTGTGCATGCAAGGCCCCCGGCATAAGTACGACGTGTCAAATCTACTCTGTAAGCTCAATAATACAGTCCTACCCGCTGCTAGTAGCAACTTTGAACATGGATGTGCATCCTTTTGATGCCACCTCGGTACGCCTCCAAATCTTCCGAGATGTATGGCCCGCAGACCCGTGGACCCAAGGGGATTACTTACGTAAACTCTAGTACTGGCACTAAATATGGTGACATATTTGGTTTTCAGGTAATATTTGGGAATAGATGAAGGGAAAAAGATAAGACATAGGAAACGTTCTATATTAGATGCTTAAATGAATTGCCCCGTTATAGCAACTAAAAGGGGATCTCCATCTAACCGGTCCAATCCCCATGTGGTAGAGAATGTCCACATCCGCACTCAAGGGGTTAGTGCCCGAGGAGATTACACGGGGATTGGACTCCTGAACGGCCAAGAATCTTACTGAATTACGCTCCAAACACTAGTGTAAAAAGGGTATACGGAAGATTGCTGGTATTTATCATTTATTCGTTTACAGCATAGGGGTTTTGCGTCCAGGGTCAAAAGCCATGTGTCCAGATCTATTTCCTGCAATTGATCTTGCTGATCGTTTGGACCCTGCAAGCTGCTATTTTTCGATCTAGCAGGGTTTAACTAGGCATCAATCTGTAGATAGAATATTCGGATTTGAATGTCGAAATACTCCGTATATCGGAAAATATTAGTGCAACCTCGTATTCTGGGGCCCTATTACCGCATCTCGATCCCCAATTATTAATAACACGGCAGACTAAGAGAGTATACGGTGGGTCCATGGCCTTGGAACAGGAAGCTCGAGCGAGTCAGCAAAGATCTTACTTCCCAGCCTTGGTTTAATACAGTAAACTCTCAGTAACACGAACAGGCGCCACAGGTACATCACCCGCCTATCTTGATCAAAACAATAAAAAGCCATTTCTTCAGGACCGCGGGTACATTGCCCGTGAATGGTGCATTGCGTGCTCTTCATTCCCCTTTGGTCAATTGTCAGCTCACGTTATCGCAGGCGTATCGCGGCCCCAGAGGGGGTGATGAGGTAGAAGGGTCGAAGCGCCCTAAATAAACTCACCGATATGAGGCAGATTGTTGTGAAGTCAGCTTAGATTTGTTGGCTTCTTTTTGGCCTCCTTTCACGTGAATACTTCTTATGATTCATCTCCTTTTGCTTTGTCTTTCTTTTTTTCTTTTTCCATTGAGTCCTAACAACACTCTCTACGACCATACAGTCACCATGACGGCCGGTCAGACCACAGGGGAGCTTGCAGCTGCAGAAACACCACCTGCCCCGTCCTCTCTCCCTCACCGGCAATCTTGTGATAGGTGTCACAAACAAAAGTTGCGGTGTATCCGGGAGCCCAATACAGGCGTATGCGATCGATGCCTGCGAAAGCGGGCTCAGTGCGTTTACAGCTTCAGCTTGCCCAAAGGACGCCCCACCATGTACCGTTCAGGTGGGGCCGGTGGTACGGTGCGCTCAGGGACAGCAAGTGCACCTTTGAATAGTCGCCCAACAAGTCCGCCGGTAGAGCCAGTCAAGCCTGTTTGTAAGTATTTGGAAATACCGGATCGGATCGGCTTGTTGGATTCGGATCAAAAATTAACACTCGGAACTGAAGCTTCAGGTACCAACATTGACGTCGATGAGAGCAATGTAACGAAAGATACGACCCAAGTCCCCAACCCAACCACGAACGAAAACCCCGTCTTGACCGGTGTCATGGATAACGGTCCACGATTAGAACAATTGAACTGGGACGATATGCAGCTGGACGGAGAGTGGAACAGTCAAGACCCTACCCAGGTCGACAAATTATTGACATCCCTTGGCGCCTTTTGCAACGACGGGAGCGCACCGGATGCGCACACCCAATCTTCACCAGACCAGCTTCACTTCCAACTGAATACCTCCAATCTCCATGCATACGACCACGGCCAGCCTGCCGGTGGGTTTTTCCAGAGCCACGATATCGGCAGAGGCGAGATGGACAGAGGCATGGGCGACAGCACAACGAACATGGGCCTAGAAAAGCCAGTCCATATCCCAAGTATTGCTGTGACACAGCTGTCTCAGCTCAGCATGGACCTTGCCTTATTGCGCTACACAAGCTACAATATGGCCAAAGTAGCAGAATCGCCCTCGTGTCACATGCCAAATGATAGAAGAATCCCATTGATCGACAGTTCTGCCTTCGAGTTCGTGAGTACATGGCTGGCCCATGGTCAGGGGTTCGCAGGAATGAATCCATTAGCACCTGGATGTGAAACTCAGGTGCCATATCCAACTCCCATCTCTGAAACAGGAACTTGCGCCGGTCGCACACTGAGAGAGGTGTTCTGTTCTTCGCAACGATTGTTAGAGATCCTCGGTCAGTTGCAATTCAGTCTCATGGTTGAAATCAATCCTTATCCCTCACCCATAATCACCCCACCTGAGCGACCATCGACTGCAGTCTCTGGTGGGGACAGCGGGTCTCTTGGGTTGCCGAATGGTTCGGGTATCGCGGGCCGGTCCGTTCCATGCCCGAGCCCGGCAAATGGAACCATGCAAGTCATTCACTATCTGGTCATGGCTTGTGAGGCACTGCTCTTGGAGATCTATGTGGCGGTCCTTGTCGCCCTGCAACATGAGGCATATTCGTCGAATAATGGAACCGTCATGGGAGATGTGCGGCTGGTGTTGGTAGTAGAGCTCTGTTCTTACCTCATCGAGCGCCAACTCCAAGCCGTGGACTCATACCTGACGCCCCAGAACCGTCTTAATCCCCACCTTGTGAGCGGGTCGGTTCCTGGAAAGTTTGATATTCCTGGGGGGCCTGAAAATCTTGATAAAGATAGAGACATGTTGAACGACCTCAGGAACCAAGTGCAGGAGAGACTCGGACATCTTCGACAAACTCTGCGCTGTAGATGAATATGACATCGAAAGATTTCAGGATCAGTTGAAAGAATCAATGTTAGAAGGAAAACCCTTCGATCGGGCTTCGGAATTGAAACCGGAATTCAGGCAGCCGCTGGTTGCGATACACCGACAATTTCATTTTCGATGGCGTTTATGAATAGGCGTTGGGCACTGCTGGCTCATGATCAACAAATCCATGTTCTTTAGAATATACTGTGAAGAAAGAGCTTCTGCTCCGAGATAAAACGCCGGGATCATGAGATCAAATTATGGATTCGAGATATTTGCTCTAGAGTACGCCATTCTTCGCTTTCTACACCGTACTCCGTACTCCTTGCATCAACCTGGGTATTATCCACGGATCTCCTGGATGTTGATTTGTCAGTAGCAGGGATTTTACTCAGCCAACTACTCTGATTTGAAATCACACTTGCTCGGAGTTTGAAAAACGCGACACTAACCTAATTTAGCCATCTTCATTTTAGGCCTGATTATGTGACCTGTAAGTCATGTGCATCGGATGAAGTTTCCAGTCCCGTACCTATGACGCTTAATAATGGGCCGAAGGTCGGTCACACTTGTACAGATTAGAAATTAGCCCAATGCAGGGGTTTAGCAGATTCGGCGATATAATGAATAATGAAGGACTGGGACCTCTCGAGATAGGCCTCCAAGGCTAGGCGTTCGGGATGTTGAGCAAGCAGTCTTACATGCATTATCTACACCTACGTTAGCTTACGTTCGTGTTTGGTAGGTTTGGCGGTTTTTATAGGAAAGGTTTATTGTTTATGCAGTGGTTTACTTTGTAATTTACAATAAATGCAACGTCAATTTATTACTAGGCAGCAGATCATGTATCAGAGCAAACAGCAGGTCTACCGGGCTGTATGTCATTGAATCATTTATCCATGGACGCTTAAAGTCATATAACACAAGTAGCCCTAAAAGCATTTCCCCTCAGGCCTTAACATCAAGCACAATCGGTGCGTCATCCAGCTTTATCATTCCAGTGATAAAGTGCTCTCCAGTTTCCGCCCGCTTCTTCGAATCCTGGTACGAGGACCTTGAAGCTCGCACCGCCGCACCACCCCTTCTCAATATCTCCTCGTGGTACCCAGCGACCGCAGCCTTCACAGCATCAATATCATGGACGCTGCCATCAGCACTCAGCTGAGCTAGTACTTTAGTCAATTTAATCGCATCGAGGAAAGCATGGAATGCACCCTCGCCGCGGGACGGTGTCATTGCGTGCGCCGCGTCTCCCAATAGCACGACACGGCTAGAAGGCAGACTCTCGAGTTCAAGGTCACGCCAGATATGCGGTTCCTTCCGGATTCCCTCGGCCGGAGTGAGTTCGAAAATCTCCCGGAGCTTGGCTGGTAGTCCTGCCGTGGTCTTAAGGACATGGTCCAGCTTTTCCTGCTGGCTGGATGTCTGGAGCCAGTGTTGGGAACTGTTCACCTCCGCATCTGGCTGCATGAACATCCAGTAGAACCGCCCGGATGTGGCGTCGGGGAGGACTTTGTGGAGTCCGACGAACCCGATGAACCCGAGCTCCGGGTTGACGAGGTTGTAGGCGCTGTGGCCTAGGGCGAGCTGACGTGTGAAAGCATCGCCAGATAGATTCAGTTCTCCCACGATGGCGCTTAGCGGGACAACCTGAAGAAGATCGCTGCTAGGTTTCTGGAGAAGGGTTGTTCGGACTTAAGGCTCGGGAGCATATAATTAGCCAGGATCATGAGATCGTCTCGCGTGGGGTGGAATATAAATTGAATGACGTACCAGGACTGTAAACGCCGTCGGCACCAACAACAATATCTCCCTTCGCACTTGTGCCATCTTGAAAGAAGACCTCGACGCCTGCATCGTCATGTTCAATTCGTGTAACACGCTTGCCCCACTGAACAGGTAGATTTGTCAGGAGCCACTTCCGAAGTAGAGATCGCTCTGCACGGATAAATGGCACTTCAGCAGAATCCTATAGCGCCGAGACCGCAGGGGTAGAGTCAGTCACAGTGTTCTCCTTAATTTTCGATAGCGAGCCATTGCATTCGTTCCCATACCTCAAATCCATAGCCTTGATCCTTGCCACCATAATAGTAACGGAACTGGCCCGGAAGTGTCAATGGGGCCAGGTGGTTGGTGGCCTCTCTGACATCAGGTAGATCTTCTGGGAGAGAGGAGATGAGCTCGTTGACAATACTATTTCCTGTGTTCAGTCTGTGGTCCTTAATAAATTGGTTTGAATCCTTACGTGTGGAGAGCAATAGCCCATCCCTGGAAGCGCGCATTGCTGTCTACGTCGCGCTCAAAGATTTCGTATGAGATGCCCTGCTTTCGAAGGTTCTGGGCTAGAGTGAGCCCGCCAGTGCCGGCTCCAACAATGAGAACGTGCATTTTGATTATTGAAAGAAGGTACAGTGAACGATTGTTCCCGATAGAACGGTAGGAAATAAATACGAATCTCACCCCCGGTCATATATCAGCGTAGCTCCGGGGAATTGATGCTCAACGCACTAAATTGAGACGACAGGGTGCCCTGATGACGTTCTGGTGGACTTCCAAGACCCCGACTACCGACAAATTCGGCGCTTAATAATATTAATAGAAAGATCGGCCTCGGGATGGCTTGATGAGATGCAGTCTTGGATGTCAGACTGACAGACGAAATGGAGTTCTGGCCAGGACATCCACTGGCAATTACATTCCACATTCCCTTTCGAGCGAATGATATAGTTAGTTATATTCAATGGCATGCGCATGTTTTTCATGAGATATAATAAACCGCCGAAAGCTTAGATGGCCCGCAGGCTAGGTTCGAGGACAATCGGTGTTATTCATGCATCTTACGATAACCATGCAAGTCCGGAACTGTTTAGTATGAGGCTGTATATGCTTGCATATATGACGTCTGGTAGATGTGATTTGTAGATCTTTCATCGCATTCTTCTTCAGCCTGCAATATTGCTCTATCCTCAACTACTTGGTACGTAGTTTACCTTCAGAATCAACAGCAAACATGTCAACAGACGAGGTTACCCTCCCTCTAGTTGACCTCAGTGGATACATCAACCCACAAAAGCCAGGCGACAAGGAGCGAGTCATCGCCGAGGTGAGAGATGCTTGTGCGCAATATGGATTCTTCCAGACTACCGGACATGGGATCCCTATGAGCCAGCAAAAGGGGTTGCTGAAGAGCATCGAAACTCTCTTTGGTATGCCCTTGGAGGAGAAGCGCAAGCTCTCATTCCTGAACAACCCCTGTCGCCGAGGATTTGAAGAGTCTGGGGCTTCGCTTCGAGACGGTGATGCTTTGCCAGACTCGAAAGAGGTAAGTCCATTTTCTAGAAGCACACACTGCCTTTTTCGTCTTCTTCTTCTCTTGATATGTTAGTAACAATAACAAGGCATTTTACATTGGACGAGAGGACCCCGTCGTAGAGCACTCTGGCTTCTACGGGCCCAATGTCTGGCCGCCTCTCCCCAACGAGGAATTCCACGATCCCGTTTGGGAATACTACGAAGCAACCCACAAACTCGGCGAAATCATCTGGGAGATTCTTCTCCTTGGCCTCGGACACCCCATCTCGCTGATGGAAGAATTCGCCAAGCGCCCGATGGTCGTGATGAAGATGATCCGGTATCCGCCGCAAGCCGGGGATCTGCCCGGCCAGTTCGGCGTCGGCCCCCACAAAGATTTTGGCGGCGTCACCGTGCTACTGCAGGAGGCCGGAAAGCACGGTCTGCAGGTCTGGCATGAGGGCCTGGAAAAATGGCTGCCTGTCAAGGCCATGGAAGACGTATACGTCATCAACTGCGGAGATATGATTGGCAAGTGGTCTGGGGGCCGGTACAAGAGCGCGAAACATCAGGTCATCAACGCGGCTGACAATGAGCCCCGTCTGTCGTGCGCCACCTTCTTCCATGGCGATTTGTTCGCGACGAACCCCCTAGACCCTGCCGACCCTGAACGGGAGACCGTTGGTGCTCTGTTGGTCAAGCGATTCCGCAACCAGTTTTCTTTCGATAAGGAACTTATCGCTGCTGTTGGGGCTTGAAGGCTCTAACCTTGGCAGGCTAGATTGTCAATAATGGTGATAATACGAAGTGTTTAAATATCCGAACTTATCGTAAGTCACCGATCTTGGTATTATTTAGAGTTGTGAGGTAAATGACCGAATCCATGTAGATAATTTTTTTTATTTTATCTAGAGATGAAATATATAAAACTTCTAGGTTAACCCCTGTTCGATCTGCATATGACAATCAGTTCACCCTATCAGTATGAGACTTCTCTTCCTTAGCAGTTTATGTGCCCTGGCAACAGCTGCTAGCGCCAGCGCCAGTGCCCAAGCATGCAAGTGCTTTCCCGGGGATGCGTGTTGGCCGTCTAAGCAAGAATGGAACAGCTTCAATCGCACAGTAGGCGGCCGTCTGATTGAGACGGTACCTCTAGGCTCTCCATGCCATGCTCCCAATTATGATGAGGCTTTGTGCGAGACATTGACAGCCCAGTGGAAGCTTTCAGCGGTGCAGTAAGTTTGAACCCTCACCGAAAAAAGGAAGCATATAGTTAAAGGATAGATAGTATCGATTCGTCCTCATCCATTCAAGACCCCATTTATGCCAACCAAAGCTGCGATCCTTTCACCTCTCGTGATTCGCCATGCCATCTGGGCAACTATGTGCGGTATGCGGTAGACGTGACCGGTCCAAAAGATATTGCAGCAACTATCCGGTTTGCCGAAAAGATGAACATCCGGCTAGTGATCCGAAATACGGCACATGACTACATGGGACGTTCGACTGGAGCTGGAGCACTCGCCATCTGGACTCACCATTTGAAGGACACTGAGGTCAAAGACTGGGCTGATTCCCAGTACACCGGCAAGGCCATCAAGATCGGTGCCGGAGTGCAAGGTTTCGAGGTCGGCCAGGCCCTGACCAAACATGGATTGGTTGCCGTCACCGGTGAATGCCCTACAGTTGGTGTTGCTGGAGGGTATACCCAAGGCGGTGGTCACTCCCCTCTCAGCACAGCATATGGTCTATCCGCCGACAACACCCTGGAGTTCGAGGTCGTGACAGCTGACGGCAAGTTTGTCACGGCCAGTCCACACTCCCGCAAACACGCCGATCTCTTCTTCGCCCTGAGTGGCAGTGGCGCTGGAAACTACGGCGTAGTAGTCTCGGTCACCCTCAAGGCACACCCAGAAGCCATGACCAGCGGCGCCGGCTTTACCCTGGACGATCCCACCTTGGATTACCCGGCGATTGTAAACGCCTGGCACGCAGCCTTGCCTGATATTCTGGACGCAGGTGTAATGGCCACCTATTACGCAGAGAACGGCACCCTCGTTGTCTATGCCCTCACTGGTTACAACCGCACGCAGTCGGACATGGAAAAGATCCTATCACCATTTGTCAAGTCAGTGGCTTCTTTGAACGTCGACCTGAAGCCTAAATACACCCAGTTTGACACCTACAACGAGTTCTACTACGCGTACTTCGGCCCTCTCCCCGTTGGCGTCTTCGGCTCAGCCGGTGAATACCTCATGGGAGGCCGTCTGCTACACCGGGATGCGCTCCAGCACGTCGGTGGTGCGATCAACGAGACGCTCCAGCTAGGCGTACGATTCATCGGCCAAGCGACTAATGTCGCGCGCTTCGGCTCTCGGAGCAGGGCTGTCCTCCCACAATGGCGAGACACGCTGGTCATGTCTTCTTACACCCTCCCTTACAGCTTCGACGTCCCATTTTCACAAATGAAGGCTGAGCAGAACTATATCACGGATCGCATCATGCCGATCATCGAGAAGGTGACACCTGACGCGGGAGCGTACATCAATGAGGCGGATTTCCAGCAGCCTGATTGGCAGGATGTTTTCTATGGTCGGAATTATAAGCGGTTGTTGGCGATTAAGAAGTCGTATGATCCAAAGGGGCTGTTTTGGAATCCCATCGCGGTAGGGAGTGAGGGGTGGAAGACGAAGAATGATGGGAAGTTGTGTCGGGTGTGAGTAGATCCAAGTAAATAATGGATATATTCAGACAAGAATGTAGCACATATACATTGGTTTGTGCTATGACCTAGCAAAATGCTCTATTACTTTCACCAGATCTCATGTTGAGAAGCAGAAGACAACAGTGGAATAACAACAATGCAAATAGTGTAGACTGAATAGACAGTGCATATGGTGCAAAGGGTGCAAACAGTGCAATCAATTATTTAGGGCTACGCAGGCTGACACCATGATCTAGAAGTGTATTAAATCAGTGAAGTCCTAATTGCCTCTCATTCCATAGATCAGATGTCTGATACTATGAATATATTTTTCCTTGCCATACAAATCCCCTGCAAAAGTTATGAAACAAAATCAAAAATCCCCGATATATATATGGGATGAACTGGATTCTTGCAAAGATGATACTGGGAGGTTTCAGCAGTAAATTGTTAAGCTGTATAAGGCCATATTTATGGAGTTCATTTCTACCCCTGTAGATATCTCGACTGTAATGGAAACCAAAGCAACGACAATTACATCGGATTCCGTCCGGATACCGTCGGTTAAAAGTGACTGAATTAATACGCCATGCCATGCATGTTGTATAGAAACGGATAGGCAGCGTTAATCTTGCTTCCGTGGGGGATCAGGTTAGTGTTGAAACCTAATTCCATGTTAATCACCGAGAATTAGCTGGGATACTCAAAAATTTATAATGGAAATCATGACTGTAAAAGGCCTGTGTTGCAGGGGGTTCTATTGCATTTTGATTCAATCCACTACGGAGTACCACTCGTAAACATATATATCAAGCCAAAAATCTATCGAGCCCTGCAGAGCCTATTATCCTTATCCAACGTAAACTCATCCGCCCCCACCGCAAAATGACCATACATCAACCGATGCGGGTCATGAGCGTGCTTGATCTTGAGCAATTTGTCATAATTATCCCCATACATCGTCTGTTTCCAATCCCCCTTATACCACGGATCCATCTCATTCAAATTAACACCAGACCCTGGCGTCGCCTCCTCCATAGCCGGGAAGAACTCATCCACAAGCTGCTTCTTCAGCGCAAGACTCTTCTCGGGATCCTCCCAATCCCAGGGATTGTTAGGGTTGCAGTAGGCAACGGCCTTGCGCCAAGCCGGGTGGACTGAGTTAGGCGGATGGGAGCCACGGATCGGCGAGCCTTCGTCCACATTGATGAAAGAGCAGCCGACGAACCATGTGCCGTCGGCGGTGATAGAGCGGTATGCGTCCATCAGCTTCGCGTTGGATGTGGGGTCTAGCACCGTCGCGCGCGGGATGAGCCGGCTGGAGATGATGGGGAAGCTGGGACATAGGTTTCCGTAGGGCAGGGGCCCATACGATGAGACCAAACTGTCGGCATAGGTGCGTGACTGGCCGGTCTTCAGCTCATATGGAAGTTTCAGCCGTTTCAGGTCCTCGATGAAGGGGGCTACGAGTGCATCAACGGCGGAGGTCTCCTGGTCCGGTAGGACGAAGCTGAAGACTTGGAGGGTGGCGTTCGTGACGAGGAACTGGACGTTGTTGGGAGTGTTTTCCACAAAGGATGGGCCTCGCTGGAACCAGTTCCCGATGGCTTCCCAGTACGCGGCATCGTTCGTGTTGTTGACGACGAGCGTGCCTCCGGCGACGGGTCCGTCTGGGTATGCTTTGATTGTCACGCTGAGCACAACCCCATACGTCCCGCCTCCGCCACCAGCAAGTGCCCAGTACAGATCTTTGTTCTTCTTGGGTGTGGCGGTCAGATACTTCCCGGCAGGGGTGACAAGTTCCCATTCAAGGACCTGGTCGGCGGGGGCGCCGTATTTGGTAACAAGCTGCGAGTGACCGACGCCTTGCAGATAGCCCCCGGCAATCCCACTAAGACCACATTCGGGCGCTACAATCCGGAACCCTGCAGCATTCAGGGCTTCATAGGCCTCGCCCGCAATGACGCCGGGGCCGAGCTTTACCGCCGCCCCGGAATACTGAGGGCTCACGTAGTGGGGGATGACATCGATGGTCTTGAGGTTGTACATCCATAGGGAGAGAGCTCCATGGCCAGTCGACTTGCCCATATAACTTGTACTTTGTCAGCGATTGTTTTTTCAATGAAGGAAAACGCATCTCTCACTCAAGACCGGTACTTTTGACGACGAGACGAATGTTGTTGTCACTGGCGAATTTCAAGCCAGCCTGCACGTCCGCGGGTCCAGCGACATCGATGGAGTAAACAGCACGGTTGCCAAGCTCGCAAGGCACGGATTGCGGTGTAAATGGGGAGCAGGAAGTATTGAGGAAGTAAGCGTTCATAAACTCGCCCGGTTGTGGTTGACTACCATGATAAGCTTGGTTTCACCTTTTACAGTTCAAAGGGGGTATTCCATACAGGGTCTGCGCGCCAGCTTCATTGAAGGCTTCCTGTAAATCCTCGCATGCGGGCTCATTGAAGGCCGGGTAAATGCCAGCATCGTGACAAATGTGTGCCAAGGGAACAGTCCCGATCAGTCTCCCACCCACCGTACTATTTAATTGACGCCATGCCCCCTGTCTCGGCCACCCCTTGTCACCGGGGATGTTTCTGCATTGCGGATCTGCGTGACTGTTGGGAGGTCGTGCCGCAGCGACGACGACGGATATCAAGAATGGCCAGAACCGGATAGCCATCTCAATAATCATGTGAAAGGGTAGTTGTTTACAGGTGATATCATTGATCAAAAAATGATGGAAATGCAGGGGGTGCCCCTACATAAATGCTCCGATGTTTCTATATTAATCGAGTTCGGCGTATTTGCGTCTCACCCCAGCCTTCGGCGGTTTTTATTATCATGTCTATAACCTTGAAAGACTTGGAAAATATTTTTGCCGAGCCAATTAAGAGCATTCTAATTTATATTCTATAAATCACTAGAATAAATCAACGATGGCAGATAGAGAACTTAAGCGCCCACAAAAGGCGCATCTTGAAAGGTGGCAACTGCGAGCGTAGTTGCGAGACCTTTTTTGGGGGTAAGCAAAACGGCAATTAATTCGAAGGTTGACTCATTTGGCTATTCTTTTCAAATGGCCACACATTTCCTGCCAAAAAAAAAAGGGTATTAAAGTAGGTTTTACTGGTCGCCATGCCCTAATGAAAGTCCTCAATGCAATACGTAGCACGGAACCAGGACTGGAACAGAAGCCCAGGAAATATATTACAATCTGTTTGGTGAACTGTGGGGAGATAATCACAGAGGTAGTACGGAGCATATGCTATTCCTTGGGGGAATATATAAATTGGAGTTTACGGGAAGAATAGGGTGTAATAGTGGAATTGGAAAAGACTGATGGTGTATTGTTTCTGCGTGAATGCCCTTTAGACTTTCGACCGTGTACTGTAAATCATATTATAATTGAAGTTATTAAGGATAAATCTCCATATCAAAGCTAGCGGAAGAGGGTACTGGGTCCCAATCGAAAATCTAACATGTAAATTTCAACGAAGTGGGTGTTGGAAGTGGGAAATATCAATCACCGAGACATCCACTCCATTGTTGAAGTAAGGTTTGATCATCTAGAGATACAACATAATTAAATTGAACTACCGCTTTTCATATCTTCCTGATCTTGGGCCCTGAGCTAAGACTTAAGAACTGACTATTGAGTTACTCTATAATTTCATGGGGATCTAGAGATCCGTTGGCTTGCTGAAAACTTTCCAATTTCTTTTTAGGGGATTGATCAAGCAAAAATTGCCCTTTAGTCGAAAAACATCTCAGCTTCCTTACCCGTGGACGTATTGGTGCACTAGAAAAGGCAACATTAACTATAAAAGGCAATCTATAAAAACTTTGCAAGGAAACTAGTGAGGCTCAAAACGGTAGATGCCCATACGCAACAGTTTTTATATCAGAACTGATTACCTGTAAATAAAGTTGAAGTAAAAGAAAGTGGATTCTATTAAGTAGAAATCTACTGAACAATCTATAGGCTTCGCAGTCTAGAGCCAGGTACATAATAAAAAAAACAAAAAATGGGCAAGACATATTATAGGCCCCAGAACAAAACAAAACGAAAGAGAAATCGCACGGCTAAAGTAACGAATCAACAAATTCAACAGCTAATGTTTCCTCATCGGCGCGATTGAAGGACCTGGCCATTCTCACCGCTGCCACCGACAGTCGCCTCCTGCGATGCCAAAAGATAGTCAAAGCCAAGGGACTTGATCAGTCCGAACCACTTCAGAACCGGCATCGACTCCAGACCCTCCCGGTCTCCTCGCTCCTGCTGGATATAAGCGCTGAGCTCATCCGTGTGGACAGCCAGGGGGCTTTCGTAGTGCGAGAACTTGGTCATAGCAGTAGTAGCAGGTGCGGCGGTAACAGAATCGCCAAGCCACTGGGAAACCTGCTCGGTGGGGATCAGATCCACGCGGCCGGCCCAGACGCTCATGTCAGGCACCTTGCTCGATGCGTCGACATAATGAATAAACGCATCCATCAGTCGCTGTTTCTCCACGGGATCTTGTTGCGTGGCGGGTAGGAAGCGATAGATGGATGATGGGACGTCCAGTTCCTCAGCAGAGCGCTCGAGGATGCGTTCGCTGGCCCACTTGCTGCCAACGTAGCCCTCCGTTCCATCCGCGGGGGGCACAAAAGCGGCCGCAGAGCCGGCGTCGTTTGTCATAGACAGCTCCGGGAGGACACCCACCGTCGAGATGTAATGAATGGGGACTTGGTGCACGGAGGCCAGTTTGGCTAATTCCTTGGTTGGGTGCACGTTGCTTGGGCGCAGCACATTGTAGTTGTCCCAGAATGATCTTACAGCACCCATGTGTAGAATGACATCCACCTGGCTTGCTAGCTGGCGGAACTCATCCAATCCCAGTCCCAGAAGGGGAAGCGACAGGTCACCTGGATGATAGGCCACGTTTGAAGCAGAGAAGAGCGGACGTGCGCGAGGCTTGTCTCGCACGGCAACACAGTGAATCGCGGCCACGTCAGACCTTGCCGCAAGCTGCGGGAGCATGGACTGACCGAGGAAGCCCGTCGCACCTGTGACTAAAACCGTCTTGGCTGTAGCTGGGGTCTTTGGGGCGAGGTCGCGGAGGAAAGTGGGGACGGTTGGAGGGGTGGTTTCCTGCTCCCAATCAATGGGGTCGACGGTCGGGCTTTCTTCGATCTTGCGCGCCATATCGCCGAGGACACTGGCTCCTAGGAGCTTGGCGAGGGGAAGCGCGACATTGAAGGCCTGGCGAATACAGGCCTGCAGACGAATGACCAACAGGGAGTTGCCTCCCACGATGAAGAAGTCAGTTGAAGGTCCCAGATCAAGTCCAAGCTTGTCGACGTTCTTTCCCAAGACTTCCCGCCACACGTGCCTGAGTTGCACCATAGTCTCGGTCAACTCGGTATCGTCCTGTGTCTGAAGAACACGGTCAGGCAATGGCATAGCCTGCACTGCTTTGCGGTCAACCTTGGAGTGGTTGCTGAGAGGGAACTTGTCGAGCGGGATGGCCATAACCGGTATCATGTACTGGGGGAGGGAGAGACGAGCGAGCAAGTCCCGCAGGAATGCATCTTTGTCCGCAACGTTGTGCTTGGGCTCAAAGACAACATGGGCGACCAGGAACGGTGAATCACCCTCACGAAGCGTGACGACAACCTCTCTCAATGCACCATCCGCAACGCAGATCATGTTGCTCTCGATATCACTCAGTTCAATCCGAAGTCCACGGATCTTCACCTGAGCATCACCTGCCATCCGACTATGGAACACCATTGCTCCATCCTCTTGCAAATGGCCGATGTCACCAGTGCGGTACATGCGCGTCCAGCCGCGGGCGATATCTTCAGATGTCGCAAACGGATTCGTCACGAAGTGTTTGTCAGTGAGTTCCTCGTTCTTGAGGTATCCACGAGAGACACCAGCACCGCCGAGACAGATCTCTCCGGGCATGCCAACGGGCACTGGTCGCAGCTGCTCATCCACAACATAAGTGAAGTAGTTGGGGAGGGAGAAGCCGCATGGAATACGGCCCATATCTACCAACTTCTCTGTTTCGCGGTAAGGGATCTCCATCTTATGCGACGAAATGGAGATCTCCGTCGGACCGTATGAGTTGAAGAAGCGGAGCTGTGGGAGATTAAGGCTCGCGAATTCCTGGGTGACGAGGGTGGTGAGCTGCTCACCACCGCCGAAAGCGAAACGCCAGTTGTTTGCCTGTCGAAGTGTGTCGCCACCGTACTGCATCCAAAGCGAGTATTCGGATGGCGTCGCCTTAGTATAAGTAATGCCCTGCTCTTGGATGATCTTGGTGATCGAAATTGGATCGCCGCGCTTATCAGCTGGAACGATGTACGCCATACCTCCGTTGCAGAGGGCTGTGTACATCTGGTCTGAGGAGTGGTTGAAGGTGAACGCACTCTGCTGAAGCGCGCGCTCTGCCCCCAGTCCCCAAGACTTGGTATACCCCTCAATCTCGTTTCGGAGACCTGCGTGGGTGACCACAATTCCCTTAGGCAGACCTGTCGAGCCACTGGTGTACAGGATCGCTGCGGTGGACTCTGCGTCTGAAACGTTGGGGATGTGAGCCGCGGCTGCCTCCGGGAGACCCGAGACATTGATGATGCTGGATTCTGGTGCCTCTGCCTGTAGTTGCAGGGCATCGACATTTGTGGTGTCATCGGCGAGGATGGCGAGAGGCTCGCAGTTCTTGGCGACAGTGGCGAGGCGACGCAACGGATTGCGCAGGTCTAATGGCACATAAACTGCACCGATGCGCATGATGGCAAGCATGGAGCATGTCCAGTCCGCTGCAGGCTGCTGGTAGACAAGTACTCGAGAGCCTTCGTGGACACCAGAATTCTGCAAGGCCTCGCTTATAGCCTCGATCCGGTTCACCATGCCAGAGTACGTGAGGACCTTACCAGTGCCATCCATCAGGGCGACTTTGCGGGGGTGCTCCTCGGCAATCTGATCAATCCGAAGGGGGAGTGTTCCGGGCCAGTCAGATGTCAGATTGAGACCTGTCTCAGAGTTAGTAGTGTTCTCTTTCTTGGGCACACTCCTAAGGGGATGAAAAGTAGACTCACCACGGCCGACCTCGACCGCTTTGGTCAGCTGTTCTTGTCCAAAGATGGGAGTAGCCTCCAGAGTCAACGACGCATCGCTGGTGACAGTTTCAAGAAAGTTGACATAAGTCTTCAGCAACAGATTCGCCGCCGTGAGGTCGTAAAGACTCGTCTGTACTCGAATCATCACGAGCGTGTCTGTAGCATTCCACTCAGTCACATCCAATGTAATGTCGTACGCCGTACGTCCAGGGTGGACATCTTGGAATTCAAATTCACAATTACCCCAAGGGTACTTCTGCTGGGCACCCTGTCGGTAGTCCAAGAAGGCCTGGAAGAAAGGACTGTGCAGGGAAGAACGAGCGATGCCTAACTCCGTGAGCAGCACATCAAACGGCAAGCGCGACGTCCCCAGCGCTGCGTAGGTCGTGTCCCTTGCTTCCGAAACTGCATCAGCAAAGGTTTGATCGTTCTGACGGCGGAATCGAAGGGTCAAAAGGTTGAGGAAGAAACCAATGCTGCCTTCCACGCTGCTGTCGTTGCGGGCGGCATCGGCAATACCGATTGTCAGGTCCTTGGTCTGCTCCCCGGCGAGGCAGAAGAGCATGGCCTTGAATGCGGCGAGGTGGAAATGGAAGGGCGTAGAACGCTGTGCTTTGGACACGGCTTTCACCCGCGCGACCAACTCGGGTTCGAGGTTGATAGCCACCTGGTGGGCAGCGAAACCTTTCATGGCCACTCTGGAGCTTGTACGAGCCATTGGCAGGAGGGGGAGGACAGGAGGCTGCTCACCAGCGGGGAATACTCCCTGCCAGTAGGTCAGCTCATCGCTCATCTCTCCCTTCTCAAGGGCCTGTCGCTGAGCCACCGAGAAAGCAGGATATTGCCCTGGCGGCGCGCCGAGAGATTGGCCGCTGTAAGCCTTTTCCAAATCTGCGGTAAAGATATTAAAGCTGGCGCCGTCCATGACAATGTGATGGTAATTGATCAGCAAATGATGGTTTCCAGATGAGAGCGTCAGGAGAAGGATGCGCATCACATCGCCATTCTCCAGGTCGAACACGTGCTCCTTCAGTGTCTTATACTCGGCAGCAACTTCCTCCTCAGAAGCAACCTTCTTGCGCTCGAGTCGCATCGGGGAGCTGCGCAGCACCTTCTGGTAAGCCTCACCAGCTTCGTTCTCATTCTCGACGAAGCACGTCCGTAGGGCTTCGTGCCTGGTTGTCACTGTGCGGATGGCTCTCTCCAGGGCGCCAACGTGCAAGTTTCCAGTGACATGGAACTGGAAGACCACGTTCGGGGTTGTCGGGTCTTCAAGGAGGTGTCGCAAAAACCAGAATCGTGACTGCGGTAACGAGAGACGCTCACTCTTGAGGAACTTTCTCCCTAGGGATGCTGCTTGCTTAGCAGTCTCAGGAGAGTCGTGGTCGGAAACGACGGACGGTGTGGTCATTGTCGTCAATGTCGTTGCCGCCTGCTTGTCTGGGGTCGAGTTCTCACCGGGTGTTGAGGTCGAGTTGTCCCCGGATGACGAGGTAGAGTCTGAAACGGATCCCTCAACCCGTGGCTGCGGCAGCTGAGGCTGTGGCGCGGTCGTAGCGGGTTTCGTGGGCTCAGCATCCTTACCTTCGCTTCCGATGGATGCAGCAAGTTCCGCGGGGAGCTTTTCAAATGCTCCTTGGCACAGCTCAGCGAGAGATGCGCCTCCAATTACCTTAAGAACCGGCATGTCTACCTTCAACTCCTTGGTAAACCAGGTTCGCACTTCCACGGCGACCAAGGAATCAATGCCCAGTTCGAGAAGCGGAGCATCGTGATGGATTTCCTGATCTCCCAACTGTAGCAAAACGCGCAACCTCGCTGCCAGGCAATCTGTGTTCCTGTTAGCTTCCCATGATATAATCTTGCACTTCGAAGAACATACCTTCCAGAATTTCAAGAGCCTCTTGCTTGCTTGTAGCAGTCGGAAGCTGTTGGCGAACAGGAAGGGACTTCTTATCCTGTTCGTCAGCTCCTGATGACGACGTGTCGCTCTGACGAATCATATGCGAGAAGAATGAATTGCTGAACCACGGGCCTGTGACCTCGTCCTTCTCATCGTCACCGTAGATACGGACACCGGTGGTCACTGTGGGGATGTAGTCGTAATCATTCTGACCTGGGTAACCGGCTTGAATCGCTTCACCAAGCGCTTTACGGAGAACAGTCTCCGAGACGAGCGCCAATCGGAGCTTCCTGAGCTGATCGTGGACGCTTTGGTTGGCTGCCTCAATCAATCCGATGCCTGTCACCTGGCCGATATCAAGGGCTGAAGCGGCGAGGCCACGTCTGCGACGTTGTCTGGCAAGGCCACCCATGAAGGCATTTGCCGCATTGTAGTTGGATTGGCCAACATTTCCGAAGACACAGGCGATGGATGAGAACATGACGAAGAACTCAAGGTCCTCGTTGTAGAAGATTTCATCCAGATTCTTGGACCCGTCAATCTTGGGCCCAAGGACTCTCTGCATCGACTCAGCTGACATATTTGAGAAGAGCTGGTCCTCAAGAATCATGGCTCCATTGGCAATACCGGCGATTGGGGGACAGGTCGCGCGGATCTCATCTACAGCACGCTGCAGATTTTCCTTGTCGAGAACGTCCATGGGGACAACCTTGATGGTGGCGCCTGTTCCACGGAAGGATTTCAGCCAGTCCTCGTCGACCTTGGGTCGTCGACTCGTCAAGCAGACACATCCCGCTCCATTCGAGACCATCCACTCACAGAGTGACTGTCCCATAGAACCACTCAGACCGACGAGAATATACGTCTTGTCTTTAGAGAAGAGAGCTTCGGCTTCGAGAGGGCGCACCTCAATCTCGACAAAGCCATACACAGGCCAGTGAACAGCATATGTGGCGTGCTTGTAGCTGAGCGCGCTTACGCGGTCAACCTGAGTAACCAAGTCCTGGACACCACCTGGGAAGACAACCGTACGGGAAACGGCATCTTTGAGTAGGCGCTCCAGGGCGGCGTGGTCATAGGACTGAGAAAGTGCCGAGGACTGGTGTCGGTAGAGACTAGTCGGGTTGATGCGACTGCAGCGCGCGGGCAGGAATTTATCGACCCGCAAACCGCTCTCGCTGAGAGAAGGTGTAGCTGTCAAATCGAGGAAGTGCGTGGGCATGATTTGACGAAGTCTCTCACGTACGCAATGGTTGGGAGTGCGCACATCCAGGGTGATCCATGCCGGGTCTCGCTGTTTGTCTTGTCCATCGCATGTGAACTCCACACCGACAGCCCTGGCGGCGGCTTGCTTGGTTAAGGCCGCAGCGAGGAAACGATCTTCACCCGAGCAATGAACCAGCATGTGACTTCTGTTGGGGATTTGATCAAGCAGTGAGCTAACGATGAGCTCACTCGCAACAGAGACAAGCAGGTCGTCCGCATCGGCCTCCACATCTGCTGGTACACTCGCAACTGGTGCTGCCTGGGAAGAGTTGGTAGTTGAGACGAAGACCTGCAGTTTTCCATCTTTGCCTCTGCCGGCTCCGACGTACAAGAACATATCAGGCGTGACACGGACTGCCATCAAGGTCGAGGCTTCGACTTTGATGAAATCTTCCGAGAACTCCTTAGGCTTGCCACCAACAAGCTCCACCAGAGAGGACGGTACATCTGCCGCCGGTGAGATGACGGTGATATTGGGGTGAGAAATTGGCACTGTCTTTGTGATGACACGTTTGGACGAGTTCAGTCTGGCATTTTGCGCTGTGTTCACCATCAGCCGAGGGATTTTCAGCTTTCCGTGATCAAGGAACACCTCGGGTTCTTTTGACCAAAGGAATGCAAAGTCACGGTGTTCTCTATCTCCCAATGCCGACGGGGGTGCTTCCCACGCGTCGAGGGCGCTCTGTTGCAGAAGATACTCAGAAATAGCCTTGGATGTATTGTGCTGCAGATCAGACACATCGAGAAGATTCCATGTGATATGTGCAGCCTCTTGTTGAACGGTGCGGCTAAATCCAACACTGGCCATGTGGTACGCGTGGTCAGTGTGTGCGCCTTGCGTGACCCAAACGATGTGCTTGGCCAGCTCCACCATGCGCTTCAGGCCGTCCATCTTTTCAGGTGTCATATCCCTGAAGATGGCAGAGTCAATATCGACCAGATTGACGAAGGTGCTCATTGGATTCAATTCGAGCGCCTCCTCCTCAGTAGGAAGGCCATTGAGAATGGTCGTCTCGCCGCAGAAGCGTCCAAGATGGTCTACCACCTCCTCGCCAAGACGCACAGTCTCGAGAGTTCCATTTCCGAGAATGACCAGGCTTTCGATGTGAATGGGTGGCGTAGAGGCGGAGAGTGGCCGTCTCAGGAAGTGCACTCGATCATCCACGGCTTGCGACGCCATAACCGAGAACGACCCATCGGCGCGGTCCATATCCGGAGTGGCGGCATCAACTCCGCCAAATCCAGCCTTGCGCAAGGCAGAATGCCAGATCCCCAATGTCAGAGGTGATGAAGCTGTACGGCCATCGCTCTGGCCTTCAGAAATAGTACCAACCGCGCTCGCGCTGGTGGGCTCCGACAGCAGGAGATATCCACCTGGCTTGAGAAGCTCTCGTACGTTCTTCAAGGCCGTGTGGAGCGGATTGGCGGCAGACAACGCGTTAGATGCGATAATGATATCGTAGGAGCGAGGTTCATATCCTTGGTCAGTGGGTGGCTTTTCAATGTCCAAGGGACTAAATATCATCTTGTCGCTGTGCGCGATGAAGAACTCTGACGCTCTGGCAAAGTAGTCCTCCGATGCATCAGTGTAGTTATATGAGGAATACTTACCGCCGATACTTTGAAGGATCGACTTTGTGGCGGCCCCTGCTCCGGCACCTTGTATCTAGTTAGCACACCCGAGAAGGGCATTCATAATTCAATTGCAGGGGAAGAAGGCTCACCTATTTCAAGAATACGCGCGTGTGGATAACGATGTGTCACCTGCGCAACCATACTCGAAAGGTTCGTGGCAGCGCCTCCATCTGGCAGCGCGAAACCAAACTTAGTGTTTGTGAACATCACGCTATCGTCGGCCGCGGTGGCCGGAGCAAAAGGCTGGAGCACGATATCCTCCACGTGGATCATACAGTTTCCGGCATCTTGGTCGAGAAGATCGATACTGGCAGAGAAACCCTCGAATTCTGGATCAAGCGCTGAGATGACAGGCACTTTCGACCCGGAAGTAGGTAGCGAAGCGCACACCTCCGGGTTAACGCGAAGGGCTTTCATCCCGACCGGGACGGAGAGTGACCCAAGTCGTCCATCACCGGGGGCTGAAAATGCGAGGATTGATGCTTGGAAGGCCACATCGAGCGTGCTTGGGTGAACCAAGAAGTCGGAAACATCCGAATCCTTGTAAGGGAAGGAGTCCACCAGAACAGAAGACTGGTTGAGCTTGCGCTTCATTCCAGACATGGTTCTGAATGGGCCGCCGTAGTTGTAACCTAGCTCGGCAAGGCCGGCATAGAAACGGTCGGGGTCAATCGCGGCCATGTTGTTCTCGGTCACTGGCAGACGATCCAGTGCTGCTACATCTGGAATACCGAAGATGATCTTGACCGTCCCGCTGGCCATGAGCTCCATATCCAGGTCCGAGCCCTTCGTCAGAACGGGGACGGAGTAACAAGCGAACTGTGTAGTTGCGGTTTGGTCTGGGAGGTACTTGACTCCCGTAAGCGTGACTAGCGTTTCGACACCCGCGTTATCCCCATCCTCAAATGTGAGAGCTCTGGGAATGGAAAGATCGTGCAGTTCGAAAAGTTTGACCTGTCTGTTGCCCGCAACGTGTCTCGATGCCTCGAGCGCCATGGCGATATAGCCTGCAGCTGGGAAGACGGTCATGCCTTGCAACTGGTGGCCGGTCAGCCAGGGGATCTCTGACTGCTTGAGCACATTCAACCAGCGCAGCTCCTGTGCATTAGAATCGGTAGACAGGAAACCAAGAATCTCATGGTGGCCATGCTTCCGCGTGCGCATCTTTCTCGATATGCGCGACTCGCTCCAGTGAGAGCGCCCGTGGTTCCACTGATATGAGGGCAACCCAGCCACCAACTTAGGAGGGCGAGAGCCTTCCGCAGCCACGGCCTTCTCAAATGCCTGGAAATCAACCAACTGTGGAAGATGGGTCCACATGAAACCCAGGCCCTCGGAGAAGGCCTCAATGTCGTTCTTCCCCCGGCTAAGGACACCAGTGTAGGGAATTGGTGTGTCCCGCACCTCTGAGATGTTCTGCATGGCTGGGCCTTTCAGGGCCGGGTGAGGTCCGACCTCAATCGCGAGGTTGATAAGTTCGTCGCTGGCTGCGGCATTCTTGACGGCATCTGCGAAGAGCACTGCATTGGTCATGTTATCCCTCCAGTACACGTCGAGGAGATCGTCAATCGGTTCCATTGGCTCGGCGGAGGCCGTAACGCTGGAGAACCAAGAGCAAGCTTTGGACCGCTCTCGGTTGATTCGGATGCCACATGCTTGCAAGGCCTTGACGTAGGCCTCTCCACAAGGCAACATGTGGTGCGAGTGATAAGCGGTGTCTACCTTTAAAGCTCTGGCAAACTTCCGGTCCTCGTCGAAGACCTTCTTTGCATGAACGACCGCGTCAGCATCTCCCGACAAGGTCACACTGGCGGGGGAGTTGTGGGCAGCGATAGTCAGGCGGCCCTTGAAGGTGGACAAGTTGATGAAATCTTGTGCATCCTCCCATGAGGTACCAACCGCCAACATGGCGCCCTTTTGGCCAGTGGCTTCGTTGCCTGCAAGGTGGGCAAAGAATCCACGGTAGTACGCAAGGCGGATCGCATCGTGGCCGGAGATGAAATCGGCTGCATACGCTGCAGCGATCTCACCAGAGGAATGACCCACAACAGCAGAAAACGTAATTCCAGCTGCCCGTAGAAGATCAATCAGGGCAACTTGGATTGCAGTACACAAGGGTTGCGACAGTGCAGCTTCAGCAAGGCGGGAGGTATCGGCTCCAGCCAGCATCTCCTCTTTGAGGCTCCATGCTGGACGGTCACCCACTGGAAGCGTATTCAATGAGTCCTCAAGCTCCTGGATCCTCTTTTGGACAAATTCTGATGAGCGGATCAGGTGCGCTCCCATTGCTGGCCATTGAGCACCCTGGCCGGTAAACACGCCAAGCAGGCGAGGAGCAGTTTTGGTGCTGGATCGGAGGCCAACAGCGGTCGCAGAGTTCTGCGTCACTTCGGCCAACTTGATATCAATTTTAGACGCGAGCTGCTCAACAGTCAGGGCCGAGAAGGCTGCCTTGGTTGACAGCTGGCTTCGGCGGGAGTGCAGCGTCCACGCCAGATCTGAGATATCGATGGTATCATGATGGGTCTTCAGGTGTTCGGAAAAGAACTGTAATTGAGCGAGCAAAGATCCTTCAGATGCAGCTGAAAATACGAAAGGCGTTAATGTTGGGCCAGAGGAGCCCGTGATTGTTGGGGCTTCGTACGACTCCAAAATCGCGTGTGAGTTGGTACCGCCGAAACCTGTGTTTGTTAGCATCACGCTCAACCTCGCGTTAAGGGGGTTTCAATACTCACCAAAGCTGTTAACACTGACGCGACGAGGAACTCCCTCTTCCAAGGTGGGCCAGGGTGTTAGTTTCGTGGGCACATGCAGGCCGTTGTAAAACGGTTCGATCTTAGGGTTCAAGGTCTCGAATAACAGGTTGGGGGCAAAAGACCCAGCCTGGATCATGCTAGAGGCTTTGAGAACACCAGCGAGACCCGCGCAACCCTCAAGATGGCCAATGATGGTCTTAATCGATCCCACATACAGGGGATTCTCCGAGTCAGTAATGTGTCGGCCAAAGCATTCGTGGATGGCGGCAGCCTCTTTTGGGTCTCCTGCCTGAGTACCGGTACCGTGGGCTTCGAAGAACTGTTGTTTTTTTGTCAGCGCGCTAGGTCAAGCAACCCTTTTCACGGCACCTGGAGACATTTTTACTTACCTGCGGTCGGTCCTGAGGATTATTGGCAGGGTCCAGACCAGCTCTCTTGTAGGTTTGACGGATGAGGGCAGACTGGGCATTGGAGTTGGGAACGGTCAAACCATTCGAAAAGCCGTCCTGGTTGGCACCAGTCTCACGGACAATACACTCAATGTGATCTCCATCCTCAATTGCATCACTCAGTCGTTTCAATACGACAGCTGCCACGCCCTCTCCGCGGGCGTATCCATCCGCATCCGCATCCCACATGCGGCAGCGGCCGTTAGGCGACAACATCGTCAGCTTGCTCTCACCGATATACATCTCGGGATTGAGAAGCACTTGAGTGCCGCATGCCACGGCGACCCGCGATTCGCTGGCGCGGAGGGTTCTAACACCCTGGTGCAAGGCGACCAAACTGGACGAACAGGCCGTGTCAATGGTCATACTGGGACCATGCCAATCGAAGAAGTATGAGACTCGGTTGGAGATGATTGCACGATTTGTGCCAGTTGCGAAGTAGTTGGGCATGGTGTTGTGATCCCTGGTAAGGGTATCATTGTAGTCGGCGGTCATGGTTCCGGCGTAAACGGCGGTGTCAGATCCTCGCAGGGACTCGACTGTATGACCACCCGCTTCGAGGGCTTCATACACGGTCTCCAGCAAGATACGCTGCTGGGGATCCATGGAGTCTGCCTCGTTAGGGCTGATGTTGAAGAAAGCTGCGTCAAACGCACGCACGTCTTCCTCCAAAAGGTAGGATCGGAGAACATTGGATGTGCCGTGATGGCTGCCATCCGGGTGGAAAAAGGCCGAGGCATCGAATCGGTCTGGGGGGATTTCCATGCCCACATCACGAGGGCTCTCCAGTAGCTTCCACAGGGCGGAAGGTGAGCTTGCAGCTCCGGGGAAGCGGCAACCGCTTCCCACGATAGCGATAGCCTCGGGTTGTGTTGAAGGCATCGCTGACAAGATGATGGCTAATTGTTGGTACTTGGTGTTTGTGTGTTTGTGTGTGTGCGTGTGTGCGTGTGTATGTGTATGTGTTTGTGTGTATAGTTGTATAGGTGCAACGCAATTGCTCTTCCTGGTCAGGTAATGGAGATGGAAATAAAAAGGGAACAGGGAAGAGACAATAGACAAGCGTTGATCCTCTATGGCATAGGTGTGGCCGTAGATGAATTCCTGTATAACTCCAACGGCAGCAAGCTCTATTATTACTGAAGCTCTCAGCAGTGCACAGATGTTCCATTCATTGCTAGCTATCACGATTATCGCCGACCACGAACTAAGGTTAGTCCAGCCCCCATAAGCCCTCTCACTCTCCGCCGATTTCAACGATATCGACAGGCGGGTGGGCCCCGACGCACCGCAATGCTTGACGAATAGAGGTTTGTTTCAGATACGAACTCTTCATGTCAGCTTATATTCTCCGATACCTTTATCATGAAGGATTTAGGTCCGCCGAAAGTTTATAGTGGGGGAAGGTCGTATTTTTTCAACCTCCCGCGCTACACATATGCAGCTAACCAACGTTGCCTAGCTACATATGTATCCTTCGGCGAATATTTCTTACAGTATTACGTGATTAGTATATTCTGCCCAGGTGGGACTACCTCCTGGCATTTATCCAATCCTCAGGGTTCCTTGTCGAGGTAAATGGCGTGTACTCATGGACGTTAGGCGTAATTATTCCTACAGTCATCACAGGAAACCCTCGTGGACCCCATTTCTTAAATTTTTTTCTTTACTATCTTCACGCTAGGCTACCCGTGCATAATCGGCCTCTTGAGCTTGTGCTGTTCGTTTCCATACCGCCGGACCCGAAGGCCGGATTAGGCAAACATCTTCTCAGGTTATGGCTTTTGTCAAGATAGTCAAGAAGTAGCCAGTTGACCAGACTTGCCTAGAATTCGGTGGGCGATGCTTTCCACGTGGCATCTTGGTGTCATGTTCTAGCTAGGCTCTAATTCTTTCTATAGTTCCCGAGTCGTTCTCCACGTGGGACATCAATACAGAATCCTACGGGTTGGATGGAGTAATTTCAAAGAAAATGCCAGTTTCATTTATTAAATTTGCGTGCTAATTCCCCCCGGTCCATCAACAGCCCTCGCAAACTGAGTACCTAGTTGACCTGGTCTATGTACTTGGAAGTAGGTCTCAGTCCTAGTCCACTCTTCTCGTATGCCATATCAACCATCTTCATTTGGTTCAGGGAGTCTTGTCTGTCAACCCAGTACTGGGTCGGACGACCCTTAACCCGGTTCACAAATTGCTCCAGCTGGTACCGGAACGACATCCAGTGATCCTCACCGTCAAGCTTGGAAATCTCTCCTGTAGCATCACGGGGCTTGTAGGCCTTCTGTGATCTCTTCTCAGTCCACTTCTTGAGGACCTTGTTGCTGGCCTTGTCACGGATCTCAAAAGATTCCTTGACATCAATCCGATGCCAGAAGACAGCGTGGATCCAGCCATTGATTGTCACCTCACGTGTGACATACTTCTTCTGGGAATCAGGGAGGGTATCATCCGCAACCTCAACTTGCCTATGCGTAACTGTGGCGTATGAAGGGTGCCAGATACTTGGGCCCTGGAGGGTGCTAAATGCCTCACCGATTCCGCCATTGGGGAAGCGGAATTTGGTCTTAAACTCGTAGTCACAGTCGTGGTGGATACCCTCGGTGAAGGCCTTGGTATCGGCGACCAAGCATTCCTCGGGCTCGGCATCGAAGATAAGACGTAGCGCGGCAAAGTTGTAAGTGCCCATCCCCATCATGGTACCACCCGCAAGGTGGTGCTTGAAGTGGATGTGGTCCTTGCTAACGAACCACCAGGGAATCATGGAATAAGTATCCACGTGGACCACATCAGCGGGAGTGATCAGCGACCGGAAGATAGACCAAATGGGGTGGAAGCGATAGTGGAAGGCTTCGAGCATGACCGGTGCGTTGGGCAGATCAAATTCGGGCAAGTTGAAAAGCACCTCGGCTTCCTTAGCATTGGACACGGAGGGCTTTTCAAGAAGAACATGCTTTCCGGCTTTGATGGCCTTTACGGCCCATTCAAAGTGCAGAGCATTAGGCAGAGGAATGAGAATCACATCAACATTGGGGTCATCGAGGATTTCTAACAGAATAGGGTTAATAAAGTGAGTTTGAGGGGGAAGGGTATAAATAAAAGGCGGTGATCCACTAACCTTGATAGGTATCCTTAACAACTGGGATACCGTTGCTCTTCGCGAATTCCTCGGCTCGTTTTCGGTCACGGGCCGCCACCGCGTAGAGGACCACTTCGGGATGCATCTTGGCGGGAATGGTTAGGGTCATGCCACTGCCATTTGTCAGTATGTGCTAAGAGAGATTATCCAACTTTCAGGGCACTCACGCTGAATTCGCGGCTCCCAGTATACCAAAATTAAGGGCATCTTTGCTCTTCTCAACCTTGGGTGGATCAAACGCCCACCAAAGACGCATCAATTGTCCGACAGACATCTCGTTCAAGCTTGTATAGAGGTTATTGCGCGAGACTTAGGGCACTGTTCTGTCTTAAAAGTTGGACAATAGATTCACTGATCCAAGGAAAAGGGTGAAATAAAACTATAGCACTTAATGCTGTTGAATACTTTTACATTTACTTTTGACCATCGGCCTTCTGTAACAATGTCGCTATCTGATAACAAAATAACTTGACGCCGAACCTTTCAAACGCCAAATATGACCGAATATAGTCCATCGAAACCAGATGAGACCATCTCAAAGTCTAGAATGCTGACGTAACAAGTCGCCGATAAATTAACCAATAGTGTCGCGAATAAACCGCCGAGAGATTGGCGAGGGATTAGCGAGGGCGGCTCTTGATAGGCAGTTTGACTTCTTTGTTCTCACGATGCTACCCACCCCCCGTGTCATAACATTGGATTTCTACTCAATTAGAACGAATTCGAATTTCTAATCTACGTGGCACAGCCCCTGTCTAGGAACTTACCAATCCCCTCTAATTACGGATGCAGCTTAGCAGCTCAATCGATTTCAAAGCACCATGTATCCTCTTCCCTTTCCAATGTTGATTTAAGTAATTCCGTTTGTAGCCTTTACATCTTCACTTCAATCCATTCCAAGCAACCAGTCCACCAGTTCCTCCCCTTACTTCCAGCTTGACAACCCTCAAAATCACACAATGTCCAAGACACTTGCTATCTTCGGTGCCACCGGTCAACAAGGCAGCTCCGTCCTGAACCATGTCCTGAACGACCCAGAGCTCTCCCAACAGTACAAGATCCGGGCCATCACCCGCGACTCCACCTCCGAGAAGGCCCAGCAATTGAAAGAGAAAGGTGATATCGAAGTTGTTGATGGTGACGTGACCGACCCCGCCTCCCTGGCGAAAGCCTTGGCCGGCGTGCACACTGTCTTCGCTATGACCACACCTGACATTAGCCCCGACGCCTTCAACGTCGAGGTCGGTAATGCCAAGCGAATTGCCGATACCGCCGTGGAGCAAGGTGTCGATTATTTCATCTGGAGCACTCTACCCTCAATTCGCGATCTCTCCAACGGCAAATACAGCTCCGTCGTCCCCTTCGATGCCAAGGCCGCCGCTGAGGACTACATCCGCACTCTTTCTATCAAGAGCGCCTTCGTTTCCCTCGGCTCGTTCATGGAGAACCTCCAGGCCCAGACTTTCTTGGCTCCCACAAAAGCTGCCGATGGCACTTATGTGCTCGCCCGTCACACCTCCCCCAAGGCCCAATTCCCCTTGATCGACGCTGTCGGTGACACTGGCAAGTTCGTCGGCGCTATCCTCGCCGAGCCTGAGAAGTTCCAGGGAAAGCGACTCCACTGCGCCACAAAACTGTACACTGTCGAGGAGATTGCTGCCCTGCTGTCCAAGAGTTCCGGAAAGACCATCGTCTTCAAACAGATCTCCACCGAAGAGTTCAAGGCAGGCTTGCCTTTCTTCCAGGATGTTTTCGCAGAGGGATTCAGCTTCATGGATGATTACGGATATTTCGGCCCTGGCTCCGAGGAGTTGGTTGCAGAAGCTGCGGCTGCCGCCCGGGGCAAGCTCTCCACTTTCGAGGAGTACTTGGAGAGACACCCATTCCAGCTTGCATAGATAGATAACCATGCCAAGGGCTGGTATGCCCCACACGATGCAGATTTCCCATAGAATTCAAAATTTGAATATATATTATGAATTTAACCTCTACCTAAACCTCCTAGTATTGAATGTATAATCACTCCCATCTTTACTATATCTTACTACTACTACTCTAGCTTTGGATTCAGCTTCAGCTAAATTCCTTGCCATTTGAACTTCAAAACTGGAGCCCTGGAGACTTCCGGGGTGGAGTTTCGCGGGCCGTGCCGAGAGTTAACCACTTCCGTGGACCTCGGGATGTTAGCGAAAGATAGAGACTGTAATTCACTTAAATTGTAAGTAAAATAGTACTTGTTGAATAGCACAGGCCTTTGTCGCACGACGGCCAAACGTTCAAGAAAAGAGACAACGCCGCTATATTATCACCCCCTTGTCCCATTATATATGAACGCATCGAAACGCCTTGAAGACCTCGAACAGTGTTTCCTGGCCGGTGAAGGCTAGCTTTTCCAAGGAGGACGTTCAACAGTACGGTTAAGATATAGTATCTGGTTTAGAAAACTTGTAATGTATCTTTCAAGGCGTCTTTTAAGATGTCCTATTAGTTATCCTTTGATGAAGGTGAGGACGCTTCCAAGGTTCTTACCCGATATGGATTGGACCATTACCCTCACCCAAATTGGTTTCCTCTCTCTTTCCCTCTCTATGTCTTTGGTCAATTGTTTTCTTTCTATTTTGCCTTTCCTATGGTTATTCACCCCACTCATGTTTTGAAAACTTTTCCAGTATATATATCTGTTCCCATTCTTTGTTTTGTCCCCCTTCCTATTTCCAAATTCTGAAGTCAAGTTGCACCACACCTGCTTTACTTGTTCAAGTCACCTCATCAACTTGCGTCTTTCATTTTCCTATCTTTGATTCCACCCGAAGACCCCAGTTCGCTTCAGCAACCAATCTCCATTCCTCTCGAAACTTAGGGTAGGTACCAACGGTTCCCTGCTTGCGAGGTGGTTTGTCTGCCCTCGACGATCAGTCCCCACCATCCATCTAAGGTTCATATCGGGAAGGACCCAACGAAAAATCATGAAAAAACCCATCAAGTCGTCGCCCCGTGCGAGGGCCTACCAAAGCCAAGCCAGTCCATCCAAAATATCATTGTATTTGACTGTGAGATGGTCGGCTTGGAAGCAATCACCACAAGCTTGCTTTCTTGGTAGTGGAGGACATCCTCACTGGAAAAGAACTCGTTAACAAGTTCGTCCCCCCCGCCCACGAACATCGTCAGGAAATAGAACACACGCCGAAGCGCGCACAATGTGCCGATATGAAGCTTGCCGTGAAGCAGCACCTCGAAATTTGAGGATGGAAATCGGCCGATGGATTGCGCATCCTATGACATCGTGGACACTAATTCGGGGATGAAGATCCAGGTCCGAAGAGTATAATGATTAACGAATCGATTGGAGGATATTAGGTGCAATTTCTGAAGGACGAAAAGAGAAGCATCGACCTTCTTATCCACGAACTCTGGAAAATGCAAAATTTAGGACATGTAGGGTTCACCTGGGACTGCCTGATTATACAAAGGAAGTGACGAGAACGCATTCAAAATCTGACAGAAGAAGATTGTTGCTTGTTGGCTAGTGAAGATTGCGGCTGAGATCAAAAAATACAATGAAGCCAGCCCGGAATTAAACAACCAGAAGACTGTTAATGAGCAAGCACAGTTTCTGGTACGCCACAAAGCTGAGGTTGACACAAAGCCAGCTCATAGTCCCTCCGAGGACGAAGGCGAGAATAAACTAGCGGTGTTAAATAGGTGCTGGGAAGTTCTCCAGTGCCTTGGCGGAGGGTTCTACAAAGCAATTGGTCTCGTCGCTTTCAGTCTATGGGGGCCATCAACAACAGAGCTGTTGATAATGAAAGCACTAAGAAATCATCGATGGGATATCTGGCTGCGAAGTTTTAGATGTCAATTCGGCGTTAGGGCAGCTCCGATCTACGACTTCAAAAAGCTACCTCGGATCCAAGCCATGTTGCTCTGGAGTTGCATGCAAAACAAGGAGAGAATATGCAGCTCAAAGTGCTCTTGACCGAGCGCCAAAAAAGAAAGGAATCCGCATTTCGTCCAGCAAGCAAGTACTACCATGGGACCCATGGGACTATACCAGCGACGCCCAATTTCGGGATGGCATTCAGAAGCTTCTGTGCTGTCAAGGGCTCGGGCTAGATATCGAAGCACTCCAGTTTCGATACCACAATGGAGTCGAAGATATTAAACTCGAACAATATTAATTTTTTGACTATTGGCAGGAGCAAAAACATGCCCAAGATACCACCTTCGAACGCATCGCGTCTGACTTGGCTTCAAACCTTTCATAACGTACTTCCTGAAACATTCCCCCCATACAGCCTACTCTTGGGTATAGCTTCAACTTTTATTGCCCCATTTCATTGACAGCCAAGCCGGGATTTCCCATCGGGACTCGGGAGTTTGCTTTTACTTCGTTAGCCATAGCTTTATCATGTCTCCTACAGCTTTCTCTGGCCCACAAACCGGGAAGTCAAATTCATCTCACTGTCACCACAGGTGGGTGATATATTGGTGACCATTAAAAACTCGAAGATCCCGCAGAATACTCAAGCAATCAAGCCATGCGCTAGCAGCTGGGCACGCTTAAGGGGAAGGAGGCTCATTGCACGTGATCGCCCAAGTGGGGAGCCACACCCCACCCTTCTCCACTACTTTCCCCACTCTTCTATCTTCGATACACCCTCCAACATTGACACATGGAGACAGATTGCAACAGGCTCGTCCTTTGGTAAGCTTGGCCCGAAATGGTAGCACAACACACCCATCAGGTCAGAAATATCACGTCATTATGGGCATATACGGGACTCTGAAACTCTTTTCTGCAAGAGGCTATGAACTTGTTCCAGTCGAAGCCGATACCCCACCAAGTCCCTATAAAGGATGAAGCTGAGATCTACATCGTGGGAGTGAAATCGGCTGCTCCGAAAGATTCGTCCGAAATCTCTGCGATCCCGTCATCTAGGGCCTAGGCACTGATGCCGCTCTCTCAAATGTCCTCCCTTCCCTCACCCGCTCGGGCAGAACCATCCTAGATATCGCTTTCATCGAGGTGTATCCAAAAAGTATTGTCCCATTAATGACATTTACATGGTGGTGACTGGACAGTGAATGTTCATGAAATGACATTGAATTGTCCAAATCCGCATCCTCCAGATGTAGCTTGAAACTGATTGGTATGCCCCTACCACCAACTCATACTGTCATTAAATCACTCCTGACTTTTTCCTTCTCACTTTTAGGACAATTTTCGCGCCAACTGCAAATGGAACGCGTCAGATACGCCTTTTTAAGCACATATAACTTCACTGTGTTCGTCAAAAGAACGAGCGACAGTTCTTTTCGCCTCTCGCAGCCTTTCAGAAATGGTTGTCAATTGCGTGGAACACATGTCAGATCCCGATAGTCAGGAAAAGGCAGTGTGGTCGGCAGAAGCCAATGGCGTTCCATGAGTACGTACTCAAATGCCGGATAACCGAGTTAGATGGGCTGTGAGTTACACCCCAATGTCTTATTGGGTTTGACTAATGATCTCTATATAGGTTTGACAACGAAGCTGCTATTTATGATTTCCTGGAAAAACCCCACCCGGCTGGATACTATCTTTTCCCCAAGTGCATCCTAAGAGGACAAGTCGTATGCTCGAGTCTGTTTCCGGCAGGTTACGCGATCATCATGGAATACCGGGAGGGCGAGCCACTCTGCGACATCTGGCACATCCTTAATACAGCCGAACGATCCTACGTTAAAAAAGAATGTATATAGGCCATCCATGCGCTTAGGACAATCTCTATCCGTCTTGGCGACCCTGGCATGCATAATGTTTCTTATGCAAGAGAGAGTAGGGCCGATACTCTTCTCGACTTTGAGGTTGCGACGCCGCTTATGCTAAAAAGTTTCATTTCTACTACCTATGTACGAGATGAGAAAGATATTTAAGCCAAGCTGGCTTCCTACAGATGAAAAAGGCGGTTGGTTTCGACTGTATGATGTTCCTATACTTTAGTTCTTCTTTTTGACCGGCTATTCCTTCTCTACCGCTTATGCAGCCTTGTCATGACCTTTCCAATTTATCTTGGGGCATGAGCTAATCGGGGCAGACAGTTGTTCTAGAAGTTAGAACTTCCGAATCTACACCGTCTCCAGCTACAGACGCACGAGGGTGGCTCACAAACAGCTCCTAGTACAACCCCAAAGTACAACCTGGTATATTTAAATTCAAAATATATTTGGCAGCTTTAGGCAAAAGAAAGCATGGGCTCCGATACTTTCTCGACCCTAGAGTCCCTTCATTTCCCGGAGCAGCTGTCAATCTCCCAGACACTTTCGTCTCTGTGTCGATCGGCGCTGTCCGTCGCCAATCGGCTCCAGTCTATTAAAACAGATGCCACCTTTGCGCAGGAGGTCGCTGACCACTATGGCTTACCACTGGTTGCTAATGAGCGCTGCGGAAGCTGGTATATTCCGCCAATGGCCAAAGCTGGCAGCGCTTATTTCAAGAGCACCGATGGCCACACCGGCCAGGGGAAAGCCTGTATCACTATCTACCTTACACGAACAAACGACATTTTCGTTGGGTTTAGGAGCATGGCTCGAGTGTGTCTCAGCATTCTTCGAGGAATATGCCCTCATCCGCCAGACGAGTGTCGCCGATCTCGAACCTGACACCGTGATAGACAGGACTCTTCTTATTGGACCTATTCTTTCTTCGCCGTACTATTCAACATCTCCAATCTTGAACTTCCAGCCTCTATCGCAGAAAGTGTCAGGGGAAAAGTCGAAGCAGTGGCGGATTATTAAGTGGTCCGTCTGGCACTGATATAGAAAAGGTCACTGCTTATCGTAGCTCTGAGTATATTTGTTCGCTGAGAAATTTGTGTTCATGGTCTTCAAGGCGTTCCAATGCGCTTGCTTTGCTTCTTATATTGGTACCCTGTTGTCTCTTTCTGCTGTCCCTTTTTTTTTTTTTTGAACTTCAGGGCAACTTAGGACTTGTATTCTTCGAAATGTACTTTTTTTTCTCTTTGCGGTTCCAGTAACTCCCAGGTTATACTCTGCCCTACCTACCTATAAAAGTGAGGAGAAAATATCTCAAAATAGACATCTAAACAGAATATCTGAAAAGACCATTGGAAGACCACTGGAAAGACCGCTAAAGAGACATCACAAGGCCGGATACGTGGCTAAATATTCTTGTTGTAATTACTTGGGTAGCTCCTCACAGCTTATGCCTCAGAATCAAAAGAGGCTAAATGCGAGCAATGCATTCCTTTGACAGTGATTGGCCCGAGCCTCTCCTAAGAATAGACGATAGCGTTCGAAACCCACAAGAAACCGCCAAATACCACCAATAGTCCTGTATGCGAAGGAATCCTGTATCAATCCCATATTACAGTAAATACCACTCGTTGCGACAGCAACATAACCCGTAACAGGGATCCACAACTGCAACAGGTTTCGATACGCCTGCCTACCCACCAGGCACTATCGTCCTGGGGGGTTCAAGGTCAAACCGCCAAGACCTGCGGACCAAGATTCGCTGGCAACGGGCTCCCGAGCGACCCGTCTCATGATTTCTCAAATAGAGCTCAAACAAGCGAAAGATTAAAAAAAAACTCGTGTTCGAGAAGCGTTGGATCTTGTAATGCCGGGGACTTGGCTTTGATCCTGATCCTTTTGATTGCCGAGTGGCTGGACGTTCGAAAATTCTGGAAGCCATGTTTTGTCCACGACGGGAGCTGAATGTGGGGTCATTCAGGATTTCAGGTTCGAAGATATGAAAACGGCGTTATTTTTAGCCCTAGATCTGCATAAAAACCCGCTAAACGACGTGCTTCTTGTCCCGGAGATTTGGTATATGGTACATTGTGGGTTTGTTTGGTGGATGTCTGGTAGAACTTCGGTAAACGAAATGAGCGCTTCAGATAAATTGGTTTGACCTTGGAGGACCCCAAACTTTGTCGCGGGATGTTGGATCTCGTGTGTATTAGCGTGGAGTAGTCTGCAGTAGCCCTGGAGCTAAGCTGGCTTGGGAAACAGGCTCGTTGGCTTGCGACGACATTTCCGGGGACATTTTCCTGATCTTGTTACTTGCCCCACTGGGGCTGACCATGTTGAATCTCTGCCTTAGGATGCCAACGTCAGCTTGTTATCCGAGCCATCAGCGATTTGCACCAATCGCATGAGATCAGGTCAGTGTGGTGGAGAATCTCTTTTTTTATGCCGGAGCCGCCTGGAACCGGATGTTATTCCGGATAAGATATGGAACCCGCAATATCTGTCCCGGGGAGAAGTTCAGCCATGATATCTAACACGATGGATAATCAAAGGCCGAGGGATCATGCGACATGTTCCAGATACTTGTGGGTTGCAATCTCTGTTTCCGCTTTCCCGCTATCCCGCTCCCCGCTTTGTCTTGAGTGTACGATGAGTATTGCAAGCTCTGGGAAGCAGTGTACTTCGCTTAGTATCTGAATGATAGCCACGTATCAGATCTTCCAAATCATATGATCACACATCACCTATGAAACGAGCATTCGAAACGCCCCGGGGTTATGCATGAGATCCTGTAAGCCGTGCGCCAGAGACAGTATGGGTTTGATTGCGGAATCAGCCCCCGGCAACAGAAAAAGTCACCGGCTTTAAGGTACAACGTAGGGAAGTTAGATATATCTAAGAGCGATGGCACCATGCCGGTTCCGGGATAGCATTTTCTGAAACACAGGTGTGATTCCGAACAGGACCGGGACGAGTCGCAATGCATGATTCTGGTTACACGGTCAGTGACGTGCGAGCGACAGGCGCCCTATGATACTGTTGCACCAATATCCTCGGAGATGAGAACATTTATTCCAAGTTGAGTCACATGTGCCTCCAGCAATTAAAAGAGAAAAGGCAAAAAAAAAAAAAAAGAAAAGAGACACATATCTGCCTTCCTGCAGTCCGAACCGAAATGCGACAGATTTCAGCATTTAGCCACAGCCGGGCCGGTGATTGGAGGTGCTACTAGACCAACGGAGGCAGACCCCGGTGTCGTATCAAAGGGAGAGGCCCGAGGATGGTAGAAATCACCCTCTTTGCATGTTTTTTTGTTTCCCATTTCCGTGTTAGTGTGATACTACAAACCTGGCTTGATTTGCATATCAACACTGGAAGCATCGAAGACGCACCGAAGAAGTGAGACGAGGCTGAGCTGAAAGTGGCTGTTGGCTGAGACGAGAGCGGGGAATGTCTGAGACGTGTCAGTCGCTGTGATGGACATTCTTGTGGTTGTAGTGGATAGTATCATTTTGACATGCACTGCCATCCTCCAAATGTAGATGCCTGCCCACGTGCATGCGTCAAAGCGGGGTGCTTCTTTTCTAAGGTTGCCTAATTTGGGGGACCTCATCGCAAAGATGTACATGCGGCCGAGTACATTGTCGCAATGGCTGTACCTTTTGAGATGGTTGTATCCAATAGGTACCGAGAGAGAATGGTCATTTCTAGCAAGTCATAATCACAATTGTGTGATATGACCGAAGCAAGTGCAGGACATCTCGAAGAATCCGAAACCAAGGTGATGGAGCAATCCTTCTCCAGTGAGGCGCAACGGTTCCATCCCCCTGGGTCGGTATAATTAGCATGTAAGATTGAAATATTGGAGTATTATTTGGAGCCTCCATACACACTAGGTAACTCTAGATGTTAGGGTGTTTCGAATAAGTGTTATAATATAGGCTTAACATTTAAAATGTTACGTCGGGATACTTGTTATAGTAATGGATACTATAAGGGGGAGAAAACATTGCCCTGGAATAGAGATGGCAAGCCCCTTCCGTTCTCTCCTGAAGATCAGACCCATAGCTCCAGTTTTAGGACACTCAAACTCCCTTTTTTTTTTCGCGTTCATTAATTAAGACATAAATTAACAATGTACCCCTGAGACCTCAATGGTCTTCTCCGATCCCGACTAGTCGCGCTATAACAAGCCTCTTATTGCTTCCAAGTTTCCAATGTTCCAAGGAACATTCGATGTAACTGACCGTACCGTTTCAGTATTCGAACGAGTAATACCGTAACTGGCATTTCGTTCATTTCATCTCGCGTCTTCATGATGTCACCACAATTCCCAGAGTATCCTGCTAAAACAAGTTGGCAAAGGGCAGGGTATATCGTCATCTAGTTAAATTATGATATCTAATATAAGAATTAAACGTTGGCATGAAAGGAGTATTTTTACTTTCTTACTTTTTTTTCTATAATCCAATGGATGTTAAGGAAATGGCCCCGGGGAGTATTCAAGCGCAATCAATCAAAACCCCACAGAATCACAAAGAGAACAAAGAGTATCGAGAGAGTTTTTTTTTCGCCGAAGGTTTCATCTCATAGGGGGAACCCACCGTAAAAAGCGGGGTGTCGTCATTTAGGGCTGTTGATCGTAGAAGCGGATGCGAGATTGGTATTGTGTACATGCACATATATGGAGTGCAGAGTTCTGATGGACTCACCTGCCCCTCTAGGTAATATGGCCCCCATTCACGTCTTTGATTTTCTGATATTTTCTGATATAAGATTGGAGGCTCAATCAAATAATAATGACGTTCTATATGTTACATTGTACCAGTAATTTTGACCTTCCAGAAGGAAACGTTGGAAGTATTAAAGAACGTTCCCCTGGTCTCAATACACTAGCTTGCGCGGAGTACGGAGTACATGCTAAGTGGACCAAGCTAATGGAAGAACCTAAGAATCTTGGAAGGAAAAATAGTAAGACATCTTATATACCCATTTGACGTCTTCGCCCTAGGAGCCGTGAGGTCCGTACTAGAGGTTGATTGGGTGAAAATTTCAAACCGAGACAAACCCTGTCCCCGCCAGGATTATTGTGATGTCCAAAGCAAGCGCCCAATGACTTCTAAGAACTGATCACGGGCAAATATCTAATATGGATTACCTATCCTCTATTAGGTTACAAGTCGCGGGTCGCACGTCAGAGCTGGAAACCCATATCAGTGATAGCGTGGCATGATAGCCCCCGGGGCCGGGTTCTTCACAATGTACATTTATACCCAGTATCGAGTACAATGTAGGCAAATGGGGTTTGATAATCAATTCCCCCTCTTCATCCCGTCTGCATACCCTGGTCTAATCCCGGTGGAGATCGCTTACTGGCTGATTGAATTATGGATCACCCGAGGCACAGTGATTAGCGGTCAGGATGTTTTGAAAAATTATCCTGTCATCGGAAAGTGGCTGTTACGAACCCGCAGATCCTTGCTTCAGCCACCGCTCTTTGTCTTTACTTACTGAGTGGGGTATATTGGGGCTAGGGCACGAGAAACATCTAATTATAATATGATAAATCAAGACTGAATGTCTTTGATAACGCGCTGTATTACCTATAACCGAATAATAATTAAACTTATTTTGTCCCTGCAAGTTTTAATGGTTTTAATCTATTTGATATCCTTGGGGAACCGAGGGTAGTCTCCCGCCACAACCGCCCACGATATCACGTTGATAACGCCGTTGATAGCGCACGGAGCATGGATAGGAGACACCTGTGTAGTTTTGAAGTTGACGCATGAGTCATCTGATTCGGATATTTGCATCGGAAAAAACAAAGGAAATTCAACACGAAATAAAAAAGCAAAGTGACGTCCATTGCCCTTTTGGGATATTCCTGCCTATGTTCTATCGCATTTTCCCAATATTGGGCATAAAACAGCAAGGAGAGGGCCGTTCCAAATAAATTGCGAGGATCCTAGACATCCGAGGTATCTAATCACTATAGGGGATACCGTCTGAGGTCTGAACAAGAACCTTGTCAGAAGTTGCTAGATTGATGCGGCTGTCAGGACCGGAAGAGGTTAATTATCGCCCTTGAACAACGCTAAGTCCATTTAGCAAGCCTACCTAGGTGACGTGCATAAGGAATCAAGAGAAAGTATTCAATTTTCTTTTCGGCTGTAGCGGCAGAGGTTGAATCAAAGCAAGGAAAATGATGGCCAGCTCATCCAACGGGGTTGACCCCGCAGATGTTCATTGCGGCTGGTCACATTCATACACGTACTACCTTCGACAGGTACGAGCCGAGCTGAGAGCTAATAAACTAAAAAGAGAGGATAATAACTAAGCCACAAGTGCGGGCCTTGTAGGGCGGAACGGATAAAATAGACGTAATATTCAAACGGTTTATTTTTCGGAGTGTTCGTGAGAAAACAGAGAACTCCCTGATCTGGGTTTATTTTTGATAGTCCACACTCCCACGTTTCACTGCCACAACAAGCCTCACCGGTTCAGGGATTCAATTTCAACGTTTCCGTAGACGGTGTACAACGTACACAGACCCTATACAGTAGTGGGTTTTGCGGTGTACAGTGTACATCCCACCATTTACCACCCCCCACCAAGGTGTCGGATAGGAGGAAATGACGATGTGCGTCGCGATCGACTCACTCTTTTTTTTTGTCTCAAGGCTTGGGCACAGCTAGGCGCCTGACCAGTCAACACAAACACAAGAAACAAGAAAGACACAACACTAGATAAGACCGTGTATCACACGGGAAAGTCTAATCAATCTTGCGATCAAAACGCAGGAATCCGAAGGCTCCGCATATCTTCCCCGGGACCGCTCTGTCGGTGCTAGGGAAATTCCATTGATGTAATACAGGTAAAAGAAAATGACCGTTACACTCTAACAGATACTAATCTCAAGAGGATTATACTAAACTAGTTCAAGTAGGTGATGTGGGGGAACTGGAGCCCGGGTGTCTCGGACTATAGAAGTCTGAATGAAATAGACTGCTATTCTTGTATCCACCATAATCCATAATCTCTCGGGATATTTGAATATTATTAAATATGAGTTCTGAATAGAGAGAAATGGATCTCCCCCCTTTTCACACCGTGAAATATTCAGGAGAGTCTGTCATAGGTAGATTGTAGTGGAATTCTAATACCCGGTCCTTTTAGGGCTCCCGTCCAACACACTTGAAACACAGATCGTCCCCGTTTGGCCGATAACATTCCCCAGGAATTCCAAGGATCGTCCAATGATACCGAGCAACGGGTTTCCGTCTGGCAATCATTCCACATCGTCATCTCGTGGTAGGCAGCTCTGTGTTTTGATAGGCACTTGGGTATTGAAGTAGTACCTAACTGTAGCATGCCTGAAGGAAATGAGCAATTGCTTAGTATTTAATAATTTCAAACGCCCTCCTTTTTTTTCTTTCTCATGCTAGAGAACTCTTTGTTGCTTTTTTCTTTTTTCCCCCTTAAGATCTCAGCCTCATTCCCACTGATTGTGGCTCATTTATACACTGGTGAGTTTATGAAATCTTTTGCCCTAACCAGATCCTACATTCTCTCCCACGTCCACCTCACTACTAGTATATCTGCGGTCGCAATTTGAATCCAACCTGTCTTTTGATATCTAATAACCCTTGAACAGAAAAAGCAAAGGAGCAAAAAAGAACAAAATTACGACATACTTCAAGTTACGAGACAGTATATTACTATCGTTACCGAACAATACGAGTATTCAGTACAGCGTTTCCCATACCGCATCCTACGTCTATCGTAAGTACTCCGTACCCACTGCAGCTTCAATTCGCGGAATTGGGATTCATTGATTTAATTATTTTTCTTTTTCCCCCCCTCAACCCCAACTCTTCTTCAATAACCCCCTTCTCCTTGAAAAGGTCTATACTCATACGATAAGGACAACGCAGGTCTTCTCCCTTTCGCATCAGAACTTCCCGCGGACCATCTTCAAACTCGAACTTAAGTGGCCACCACGTAACCGTGCAGGAAACTGGATCAGCTCGCAGTGATCCTCAAAAACGGCACTAAAGAATCCAACATCAGCGAGCTCCCCAACTCGGCCCAGTCTCCGATTGTTCGCCTTTCCTCTTTCGACCGCCTGCATCCACTGCGTTGGCAACTCTGTCGCAATTCCCGATTTTCCTCGCATTCTCCTATCCTAGCTTCGTTGCGCTGGGGGAAAATACTCCCTGCACTTTAGCACGGGTACTCCCTTCGCCTGCCGCATCGCTAGTCTTCAATCGCACCCAATCGCGCGCCGCCCTTGTCGGACTAGGACAATATTTGACTCTTTTGGTCTTTTTTTCTGCTACTGTCTACTTCCGCCAGCACCCAAAGCCGGTTCTTGGGGCTCTTTCCCTCTGGTAACGATACCTGCATACGCATTACATTCGACCTTTGGCTCGCTTTGGCGCACGCCCTTCAACTTCGAACCGGTTCCGCGTCCACTTCCCC